TTGAGGGAGAAAGGAGAGAGCTGGCGATGGGAGAGTGGGGGGTGTGCGATGGGAGAGTGGGGGGTTTGCGATGGGAGAGTGGGGGGTTTGCGATGGGAGAGTGGGGGGTTTGCGATGGGAGAGTGGGGGGTTTGCGATGGGAGAGTGGGGGGGGGTGGTGATGGGAGAGTGGGGGGATGGTGATGGGAGAGTGGGGGGGGATGGTGATGGGAGAGTGGGGGGGGGGATGGTGATGGGAGAGTGGGGGGGGGGATGGTGATGGGAGAGTGGGGGGTGGGAGATGGGAGAGTGGGGGGGGGGATGGCGATGGGAGAGTGGGGGGGGGATGGTGATGGGAGAGTGGGGGGATGGTGATGGGAGAGTGGGGGGGGGGATGGTGATGGGAGAGTGGGGGGTGGGAGATGGGAGAGTGGGGGGGGGGATGGCGATGGGAGAGTGGGGGGGGATGGCGATGGGAGAGTGGGGGGTTGGAGATGGGAGAGTGGGGGGGATGGTGATGGGAGAGTGGGGGGGGGGGGATGGTGATGGGAGAGTGGGGGGTGGGAGATGGGAGAGTGGGGGGGATGGTGATGGGAGAGTGGGGGGGATCGCGATGGGAGAGTGGGGGGGGGATGGCGATGAGAGAGTGGGGGGGGGATGGCGATGGGAGAGTGGGGGGGGGGATGGCGATGGGAGAGTGGGGGGGGGGGGATGGTGATGGGAGAGTGGGGGGGAGATGGTGATGGGAGAGTGGGGGGGGCGATGGGAGAGTGGGGGGATGACGATGGGAGAGAGAGAGAGGAAGAGCACGGGCAGAGTGCAGGGAAAATTGCAGCCCCTCTCTCCGCATGCAAACAAAAGGCCGAAGAATTTAAGTTTTTTGAAACTCTCTCTCACATTAAACTCTCCCCCCATCCTCCTCTCTCTTTCTCTGCCCGGGTACAAAAGAGCCTCTCTCTTTAAGCCTGCACAATACAGTAGGGTTCGGGGTGGGGGGGGCTGTTTGGGATGGGAGCGGCGCGCGTGCGTGGGTGCATATTTGTGTGCACGCGTCTGTGTGTGCATGATGCGCCTGTGTGTGTGCACGTCGACTCAGCCTCAAATGAGTACCTGGTGCGGTGTGTAAACATCGCCACTGGGGAGACAAAGGCGGTCGAGCGTGGTGTTGGCCACCCACCCCCTCGTGTGCCGTGCCAGCCTTCATAGGTGCTCGCTAAGAGCACTTGCCCCAGCAGTCTGTTAAGGCTACACGGGGGATGTTTGGCTTTGTTACAGGATCGTTGGTGCAATTATCTAACTGCACTCGGAACCCCGCGCCCCGAGTTCGATTCCCGCTCACGGCCAATACCATCGGTGACGATTATCTTAACAGGTCCTGGACCTCCTCCCCTAAGTTGACTCAGCCTCAAATGAGTACCTGGTGTGGTGTATAAAACATAGCCACTGGAGAGACAAAGGCGGTCGGGCGTGGTGCTGGCCACCCAGCCCCTCGTGTGTCGTGCCAGCCTTCTTGGGTGTTCGTTAATAGGACTTGCCCCAACAGTCTGTTAAGGCTTTACGGGGGTCTTTGTGCTTTGTCTGTATTTGGAGAGGGAGGGCCCACGTCTGGCGGGAGGAGCATGACGGCCAGCGCCTGAGGGCAGTAAATTGGGACATTCCACGTTTCTGTGGCGGGACCCAAAACAACCCTCATTACCACATTTTATAGGGAGACATTCTAGAGAGCATTTTTTGTATTAAGGTAGAGAACCCACTGGGCTCTCAGCTGTTATGGAGAGGCGATCGCATTGGCTTATCATTATGGAATGTAAAGCTGCCAAACAATCTAAATGCGTATTGATTCTAAATGAGGATTGGTGCAATACCGGAGGAACCTGTAGAACAATCCACGTGACCACCACTGAGAGAACGAGAGAGAGAACACGGGGGGACTCCAGTCATCGCCTGGGTCTGGGATCCAACCCATGGCCTTCTGCGTAACAGGCGAGGGAGTTCACATCTCAGCCCGACGGCGGTGTTGTGGTCAGGACACTGGACTTGCAATCCAGAGGGCGCGGGTTCGATTGCATCTCGCCTGCTTGGCAATTAAATATAACGGTGGAAGTTTTTTTTTTAATCGCCAATGTGTGATGTCGTCATCACCAATGTTACCGATGTTGATGATGCTGTTGATGATGTTGCTGTTGACGATGTTATTGATGTTGTTGACGATATTCTTAGCTCTTTCGGTAAAGTCACGTTGAAGGGAAACAAAATAATAAAATATATATAAAACAATAAAAATTCTCACGACGTTTCGATCATAACACAAACGGTCGTCATCAGGTGTGTCGGTTTGCATAAATTTATTTATTTTTAAATGGTGTATTTATTTATTTATTTAAAACCGGCAGCGCCACGCGCAGCGATTTGGCAGTTTATTTAGAAGGACGAGTCCATCTATGTTCTGAAAAGAGGAGGGGGGAGACGAAAAATGAATGTATGCTGTCTGAATGTTCACGCTTACAGTGGCTATCAATTAAGACCTGAAATGGTTTATCAAATCTTTCCAATGATTGCTAAGCCAGAATCCATCTTCTCGGTTGAAATTGTCTCTGTGCTTGTATATGTGGATAGCCTCATGAACGAATCTCTCATGGTAGCCAGATGGCTTACAAAGAACCTCTGTCTTGGAAAAGTCAATGTCATGTGAGCCTACTGAATTATAACAATGATCTGCCACGGCCGAGGTGTTGGTCCTACCGTGTTAAAGGTCTGCTTTGTGTTCACGAATGCGGTCCCAGACATGGCGTTTGGTTTCTTCGATGTAACTACTACCACAGAGGCAACTTAGTTTGTAGACACCAGGGTACTGTATGTCCGGAATCACATCTTTTACAGACGGAACCAGATCACGGATTTTATGTAATGTGTTGAAACGGACCTGGATCTTGTGTTTATTAAAGATTTTGGAGATTTTTTTTGTGATCCCCGCAATGTAGGGTAAAGTGATGGTTTTGAAAGGCTCCTCAAGAGAGTCCTTCTTCATGGTGTGAGTGATAGCTTTGCGGATTGTATAGTCGGATTAACCATTAGCCATAAGAGCTTGGTGTACGTGCTTGAGTTCACTGCCTATGTGTTCCTGGTCGGATGTGCATTGGGCTCTCTGATACAGAGTCTTGATGAGAGAATTATTCTGTGATGGATGAAACCGGATTCCCACCACCATCCATTACAGAAGAATTATCTCATCAAGACTCTGTATCATAGAGCCCAATGCATATCCGACCAGGAACACATAGGCAGTGAACTCAAGCACGTACACCAAGCTCTTATGGCTAATGGTTACTCCGACTATACAATCCGCAAAGCTATCACTCAAACCATGAAGAAGGACCCTCTTGAGGAGCCTTTCAAAACCATCACTTTACCCTACATTGCGGGGATCACAAAAAATATCTCCAAAATCTTGAATAAACACAAGATCCAGGTCCGTTTCAACACATTACATAAAATCCGTGATCTGGTTCCGTCTGTAAAAGATGTGATTCCGGACATACAGTACCCTAGTGTCTACAAACTAAGTTGCCTCTGTGGTAGTAGTTACATTGGAGAAACCAAACGCCATGTCTCGGACCGCATTCGTGAACACAAAGCAGACCTTAAACACGGTAGGACCAACACCTCGGCCGTGGCAGATCATTGTTATAATTCAGTAGGCTCACATGACATTGACTTTTCCAAGACAGAGGTTCTTTGTAAGCCATCTGGCTACCATGAGAGATTCGTTCATGAGGCTATCCACATATCCAAGCACAGAGACAATTTCAACCGAGAAGATGGATTCTGGCTTAGCAATCATTGGAAAGATTTGATAAACCATTTCAGGTCTTAATTGATTGTTCACGCTTACAGTGGCTTTCAGACAGCATACATTAATTTTTCGTCTCCCCCCTCTTCTTTTTAGAACATAGATGGACTAGTCCGTCTAAAAAAACTGCCAAATCGCTGCGCGTGGCGCTGACGTTTTTTTATAAGTAAATAAATACACCGTTTTGCAAATAAATAAATTAATGCGAACTGATACACCTGATGACGACCGTTTGTGTTATGGTCGAAACGTCGTGAGAATTTTTATTGTTTTATATATATTTTATTATTTTATTGTTTCTCTTCAACGTGAATTTACCGAAAGAACCAAAGAATATTATTGTGTTATTTTATTTTATCAATTTATTATTTTATTCTCATTCTACGTGACTTTACCGAAAGAACCAAAGAAGATTAATCCTTGCAGTCACGAAAGCTTTAAATCGAAATTTAGCGAAAGAGCTAAGAATATGAATTACTGCAGTCACGAAAGCTTTAAATCAAAAGTTGTTGACGATGTTGATGATGCTGTTGATGATGCTGTTGATGTTGTTGTTGACGATGTAATTGATGTTGTTGACGATGTTGTTGACGTTATTGATGTTATTGACAACGATCCACTCGGGCCACGACGGAGCGGAGTGGAGGGGGCTCGCCAGATCGCTCTCTGACGATGACGATGATGACGACGATTTCATTCGTGGACTTTCACGACCGATGTTACGATTCACGATTCATTTATTTGGCTTGGCCCGTGTGGGCACGACGCCTTGGGGACGTGGCTCAGGAACCCCCCCCCCACCCCCCCCCCCCCCGCAATGTTGGGTCGTGATCTTCCGGCGGCGACGCGTCCAGCAAAGGTTGTCAGAGTTTTTCGTTTCTCGCACCTTCAACGCTGCCGTTGGATTTTGTTGTTGTTGTTGCGGTGAAAATACAAACTTGGTCGGCAGCTTTCATTTTTGTTCGGGCCGCGGTCGGGGTAGTGGAGTGCTCGTCAGATTGTCCATCACACCCACACGCTGCGACCCACAACACTCGACATGAATCACGATGATGATCACGATGACAATGCTGATGGTCGTGACCGGTAGCAGGCGTGGACGGCTCCCGCGATGACGTCGTTAAACCACGGCGGCCGACTGTGACGACGTTCCTGGGACGCGTGTCCGCAGGTCACGATGAGGCCGGGCGGTCGTGATGACGGCCAATAGGAGCGGCGGCGGTGGCGGCGGTGGCGGCGGTGGCGGCGGTGGTGGCGGTGGTGGCGGTGGTGGCGGTGGTGGCGGTGTTGCCGTGAGGAACGGGCTCAGCACCAGCCGCTCCTGGACAGCGACGACGCCGACGAAGACGGCGGCGCCAGCGGCGAACCTCTGTGGGGCGCGGGAGTGCGGGGGGGCAGCGGATGAGCGGTGAGTGGCGGCGAGCGGCGGCGAGCGGCGGCGAGCGGCGGTGAGCGGCGGTGAGTGGCGGTGAGCGGCGGTGAGCGGCGGTGAGCGGCGGCGAGCGGCGGTGAGCGGCGGCGAGTGGCGGCGAGCGGCGGTGAGTGGCGGCGAGCGGCGGTGAGTGGCGGCGAGCGGCGCTTCGGCGGTTGTGGAGCGAGTGCTTTCGCGAGAACCGGTCGCGCCGGCGTCGTCGCTTCGAGCGAGCGCGGCTCTGCTGATGGGACGCCGGTATTCAAAGCCGGTGTGTGTGCGGCGCGTTGGTTATTGACGCTGTCGAGTGTGCACGGATGTGCCAAGTGCCCGGTTGTACGAAGGGGTGGACGCCGCCCTCGTCGCGTGAATCGCCGAGGCCAGGAGAAAATATTTTCAATGCAGAGGTAAATAAATAATTCACGCGGTTCTTCCCCGTGGCGTGCGTGGTGTTGGTCTGCTCGGATCAAATACGAGACCCCCTCCCCCTCCTTACCCCCCCCCCCCGACCACCACGCACTCTGTCGTGGTCTCCACGCGGCGCATGCAGAACGTGCACGACTCGGCAGCGATGAACGGGAAGGGGACCTTCTCTCCGCTTCCTCTTCGCTCCTGCTCTATCTTTTCCTTCTTCTCCTGCTCCTCCATCTCCTCCTCCTCCTGCTCCTCCATCTCCTCTTTGCTCCCTCCTGCTCCTCCTCCTCGCTGTGACTCCTGCTCCTCCTCATCCTCACCGAGGCTCACAGAGACTACACTCAGGATCTGCTCAGTCGACCCGCCTCTGATGTTGACACTGCTGCTGATGGTGATGATGAAAGTGGATGTGTGAGGAGGAGGAAGAGGATGTTGATGATAGTGATGTTTGCACTGGAGGTGATGGTGCGTACGTGGGCCGGAGTTGGCCTGTGGGATGTGCCTGGACACCCCCACGCAGGGGACTGGGACTCCTGCCAAGGAATGATCTCATTGCGTAGCTGTTAGCGCTACGCTGCACTATGAACTCGGTCACCCGAGCTCAATTCCCGTTCATGGCCAACACCAGTGACGATTATCTTAACCGGTCATGGGCCTGCTGCCCTAGGTCAACTCAGCCTGAAATGAGTACCTGGGTGCGCTGTGTAAAAAAATTATCGCCACTGGGGAGACAAAGGCGGTCGGGCGTGGTGTTAGCCACCAAACCCCCTTGTGTACCGTGCCGCCCTTCAAAGGTGCTCACTAACGGCACTTGCCCCAACAGTCTGCTAAGGCTATATGGGGGATCTTTGTCTTTGTGGGTCCTGCTACATTAAGATGTTTAGCCAACACCAACTGCACGGTGCTGTTGTAATCTGAAGTGGTGTTTGTCACACGGCAATCAACCCGAGTTGTATTTTTAGTCCTCAGTGCTGTCGTTTTGCAACTCTGTGCAACGTGAAGTTACAGTAATGATTTCGATGTATATTGCATCATTGGTGTTCGTGCAAATTCCATCTCAATTGCCGAGGCAGCAGAGCTGGGCGGTGAGCCAGCACTGCCAAACCATTTCCCAAGATTAATATATTTGATTAATATATTTTTCAGCCAATTAGTGATGAGTGTTTATACACGTGGCAAGAATCGGGAGCTCCTGGAGAAAACCCACGCGAGAGAGGGGGCAACGCTCTATCCTCCGTAAAGAAGGGACAGATGATGTTGGTGTTAGTCCGCCACTTTGCTGTGCCACGTTCTCCTGACGAGCCAGGGTACGACGACTCCTGGACATACGTAGGAAATAGAGTTTTGCAACAACATCTGTGTGTGCAGTGATCTATCAACCCTCGCTGCTGCCTCGACAGTGCTGGATTACAGACCCCCGATCAAATGATGACCGGCTGCCGAGACCCTCCACTCTCGATGCTTGAGAATCCGGATTAAGCATGGGCGGCTGAAACGGGGATTCAAACCCGTGATCTCAGACTCCGCTTGCCCCGTTTCTTAACTCCGCGTTTAAATCGTTCGCCATTCACGGCAGATTCACGAAGATGTTATTCGCGCCGTCGGGAGTGAACGCGCGATTGCAAAACGTCTCCCTGCGCTGCGCTGAGTCCGGACGCATGCAGCGAAGTTGCCCCTCGTTCAGCGCTCTGTAAAACTAATCTGAGCTAAAAATATGTTGCTTTTTTAACTTTACCCAGGTAAGTCCCACTGAGCTACGTAGCTCTTTTTCAGAAGCGACCTGGCCACAAATGGTAGCTCAACGAAGTGTCTTATCACGTGTAAATGTGCAGTAGCAGCCAAATACTGTACACTCACGTTGATTCTACATGTGGGGGCACAAACGTGACCGCGGGGAGAGAGAGACACGCAGACTCCAAATATACAGCAGGCATCAGGGTTGGGATTTAACCTATGACCTCCCGTAAACCAAGCGAGGTAATTAACATCTCGCCTCTGTGCCGCCCTCAACTGGGATCACACACAGCAGTATCAGCATCACCCCAGCGCCCCCTTACCGACTGTGAAAGCGTGGCAAGCGACGTCCTGGGTCACAAGCCTCCATGACATGGGCGAGTTTCTCCAAGAACACAAACTCTGTTGACTTTCCCCCGCAAAGAGCGGTACTCGTTTTATCGAACCCCCGCCCCACCCAAGAGGGAGGGATGATTGGCCGAGCCGACCACCACTGCCCCAACCGGGATCCAAACTCTCGACCTTCCGATTGCGAGCCGCTCGCTCCACCGCTCGGGCCACCTTGGCCAACGGTCCGGGTTTACTTTTACCGGAATCCTTAATGTCCCCTGTTGACCCCTCCCCCCCCTCTGCGTTACCACGGGGGGGGGCTGGGGGGGGGGAGGCTAGGGGCGGTGCTTTCTCTCTCGTGCCCTTCCCGCTGCGTCTTCCCCCCTTTCCGCGCTTCGCTGTTCGGCGACGCGTCCGCAGGAGCGACGCTCGGGATCGCGGTTCCCCTCCCCCCGCCCCGTGGACCCAGGGGCTCGGCCGTCCTTTGAAATGGATCGGCTTGGACGCGACCGGTTCTCACCTCGCTTCATTAAAGGGGAAAGTTTTGTTTAAGGCCCTGCACGCCGAGCGGCCAGCAGCAAACAGCACTGGTGGGGTGGGGGGGGGGGCGGTGGGGGGTGTCAGTGGCGGGCGGTGGCGGGTGCCAACCACGCCGCTCACGCCGGGGTCCATCGACGTTTCGGCGACACGGCCATTGTGAACCGCGTGTGTCCGCAGGAGCGGCCTCAAGGCGGCGGCGGCGCTGAAGGCGTCCGTGGGGGGCCGGTCATGCGGAGCCCGCGGTGGCGGGGGGGGGCCCTGCACGGCGGAGCCCCCCCGCTACGTGAGCTCCGCGCTGCAGGCCCGGCCCCGGGGCCCGGCCGTGCAGCCCCCGGAGCAGCAGAGGGGGGCAGGGGGAGGAGCAGGAGGAGGAGGGGGGGCGGCGGGGGGGACCCCTAGGGGACCCGGGACCCCCGCGGCCGAGGTCACCGGCGCCGGCTGCCCCCCCAAAACGGCGGAGGGCGCGGTGCCGAACGGCGTCGCCGTGAAGAATGGAGGTGAGCCTTTTGGGTTTTTGGTTTTAGGTTTTAGATGTTTGGGTTTTATTTCAGGAGACGAGCGTGGACGCGCCGCTCCCTGCATTGCACGGATCAATTGTAACCGCTCGCAGCTTCGGATCACACGCACACACGCGCACACACACACACACGCACACACACACGCGCACACACACACACACACGCACACACACGCGCGCACACACACGCGCACACACACGCACACACACACACGCACACACGGGGGGCCATTTGACCGTACTTGACCCCACTGCCCAGCGGAGGCCGTCTCTTGGGGCCGGTTTGGATAACGCTCACAAGCGATGTTCGCTACGGCGAGGCATTGAACCCGGCCGGGTTCACGATTGCGGAGTGTTCGCCCCTTCGCCTCCGCTCATTATGGACCTCTCTACTAAATGAGTTTAAGAGTCTCTATGTAAGTCTAAGGGTCTCTATATAAATCTAAGGGTCACTATGTAAGTCAATGGATCTCTGTGTAAGTCTAAACGTCTCTATGTATGTCTATGGGTCTCTGTGGAAGTCTGTGGGTCTCTATGTAAGTCTATAGGTCTCTATGTAAGTCTATAGGTCTCTGTGTAAGTCTATGAACTCGGTATGTACGGATGTTTGCATGCGGTATATCGTGCACCGGACCACTATTAACCTGGGTTCGATTCCCCGCAACGGCCAACGCCAGTTGGTCCTGGGCCCCCCTCCTCGGTCGGCCAAACCTTCACAGAATACCCAGTGTATTAAACGTTGCCACTGGGGAGACAAAGGCGGCCGGGCAGGTGCGGTGCCGGCACACACCACCCCGTCGAGCCCACGCCAGCGCTCCGCCCTCCACCGTCGCTCGCTAACGCCACTTGCCCCAACAGCCTCGTGCGGGCTACACGGCTCGACCTTTGTCTGTGTAACGCCCCCCCCCACCCCCCTACCCCCCCCCCCCACCCCCTCCCCCGTACGGCTGTGCCGCAGCGATGGTCCCGGCCGGCTCGGCCACGGGGGAGACGGCACGGGCCCCGGCTGGGTACCGCGTCTCCATCATCAGCCGCTTCAGCGTCACGGGCGGCGGCGGCGTCGCCCGCGCGGTCGCCGCCGCCCCCCCCCTCGAGGGCGCGAGGGGGGGGCCGGCGGGCCCCCCACCCGGCGAGGGCGACGCCGGACGAAGCGACGGCGACGCTGGAGGTTGCCGGGGAGCGGAGAACGGTACCAGGAGTCGACCCGGGGTGTTTGCGTTTTGCTGCCTGCGTCGCAACGACAAGTGGGCCTTCGAGTGGCTTGGGGAGCGAGGGTGGGGGGGTGATGACAGATGATGAGCCAGCGCCGCTAAGAGTGTGGGGTTTGAATCCGGGTTTAAGCCGCACGTCACTAAAGTGGGGTCTCAAGGACAACGAGTTGTTTGGTCTCAGCCCCTGCACCGGTGACTCATATAGAGATCCATATACTCGCATAGAGACCCGTAGATGCACATAGAGACTCATAGACTCGCATAGACACCCACAGATGTGCATAGGGACCCATAGACTCACACAGAGATCCATCAACTCCCACAGAGATGCACAGCAATCACGTAGAACGAATTCTTCTCCAAGTCGCCGGCGTGAAAACTCAAATGATAACCAGAGTCGTACGTGTGTGCGTGTGTGTGCATGTGCGTGCGTGCGTGTGTGTGCGTGTGTGCGTGTGTGCATGTGTGCGTGTGTGCGTGTGTGTGTGCGTGTGTGTGTGCGTGGGGAGCGGTAGTGTAGCGGTTAGCGCCCTGCGCTATGAACCTGGCTACCAAGGTTCGATTCCCGCTCACGGCCAACAACAGTGACGATTATCTGAACCGGTTCCGGGCCTCCCCTAGGTCGACTCAGCCTCAAATGAGTACCTGGTGCGGTGTGTAAACATTGCCACTAGGGAGACAAAGGCGGTCGGGCGTGGCGCTGGCCACCCACCCCCTCGTGTACCGATCCGGCCTTCATAGGTGCTCGCTAACAGCACTTGCCCCTACAGTCTGTTAAGGCTATATGGGGGATCTTTGTCTTTGTCTTTGTGTGTGTGTGTGCGTGCGTGTGTGTGTGCGTGTGTGTGTGTGTGCGTGCGTGTGTGTGTGTGTGCGTGTGTGTGTGTGTGCGTGGGCGTGCGTGTGTGTGTGTGTGTGTGCGTGGGCGTGCGTGTGTGTGTGTGTGTGTGCGTGTGTGTGTGTGTGTGCGTGCGTGTGCCCATCCCAGGCGGCGTCCCCGTCCCGCGTCTGGCCACCGGCGCGAGCGTGCGCCTCCGTGCCAGGGACCCCGACCGCGCGTGCCGCCCCCCTCCCACGTCCGGCGACGCCGCCGCCGCCGCCGTCGCCGCCAGCGCCGACTCGAAGCGGCGCGAGTCCGTGCTGCAGCGCGTGCGGACCTTCGAGAAGGCCGCCAAGGAAGGCCTGGCCGGCTCGCTCGGCCCTCCCGCCACCTCCGGTGCCGACGGGGCAACGGGGACAGCAACCCCCCTCGCCTCCCTCCTGCAGTTCCCCGGGAACTACTACAGCCCCGACGCGGCGCTCGCCCGCAGGATGGAGTCGGCGAGCCTCTCGCTCGGCACCACGGACAGCGGCAGGGGGAGGTTCGCGATGGGCGGCTCGAGGAGGAGGGGGGAGCGCGGCGGTGGCGGCGGCGACGACGATGCCAGCCCCACGGAGACCGGGTGGAGGAGAGTGAGTGGGGAGTCGCTGCTGGATGACGTCGAGGCCACGCTGGGAGCTTCCATCCTCGGTACTGGGCGATCGACCTCCCCCGTGTTCGCTCGGTCGCCGTTGAGAAGCGACCGCCGTAGTTTGGCTGGGTTAGGGATGCCGCGTTGATATGTCACGATGGGTTTTTTCGTCTTTGTTTGTGAAGTCATCGGTGACTCGGCTGACGAATCCGGCTTGATTACAAGTTCTGTCCATGTGGTTATGGGTCTCTGTGTGAGTCTATAGCCCTCTGCGTGAGTCTATGGGCCTCTGTAAGTTGTTGGTAACTGGCCAGGGACCATCGCATCGCTAAACCTGAGAACCATGGACTGCTAAACCCTGTGACCTCCCGTTACGCTATCTGAGACATTCCCGCAACTCCCTCGCTTACCTCCAGGGGTCGAACATGACGTGTGGAAGCTGTTCTTCAGACTGCGATGCTTCTGGCAGGGGGAGAATGCTATTGCATCGCTTGCATTTCAAATCCATTCCTTCCCACTGAGCGTTCAGTGGGAGTGTAATTGTTGAGTTTCTCAAGGGTTGACAAATTATCGCAATTTGGGGTGAAGATTTCATGGTGTCATTGTTTTTTTTGTTGTGTTTATAGTATTCTGTTGTTTTTCATCTTTTTTTACATCTACTTCGTTATTGTTTTCTGTCCGTATGGTTTTTGTGTTGTCTGCGTTTACAGACGGGGCTCAGAAAGAGACGCACAGCCAAGTGTGCAAAAAAAAATTCAAATAAACCATCGGTAGTTCCTGAAGAACTGCATTGTGGTCTCCTCTTGTTAAGTGACCCTGACTGACAGCGGCTACAGCAGTGACACACAGACTCTGGAGCGGTGCCGTCCTAATCACGACTCATCGGCACCGTGCTAGTCAAGAACGCTCACAGTTGTGTTGATCACAGAAGAGAGAGGACCCACAGTGCTTTTTTCTTCGGGATATGCTGATGTTTCTGTTTTGGTTGCGAAAAGGCCGTGCGATTTGTGCGCACGTTGGTGCCTTGTTCGGAAGTCGTGGTTTTCCAGCCTGGCGTGTTTGTGGTCACCTCCAAGTTCGAGCGTCCGTGTTCTTGGCACCACCGCCTGCCAAAATGGTCCTGTGTACGCTCCGGTCTGCGTGGTGTCACAAGTGTTGCCCCATCACTTGGGGGCTGCCTGCTGTGTGCGTCTCATTCGATCATTTACACTCTAACCCTAACCTTAGCCCTAACCACAACCGTAACCATAGCCCTAACCGCGACCTTAAACATTGCAGTGAGACTGACCTTGTGTTGCAAGCGTCAAAGTTGTGCGTCGTCGCAACCAAACTTTTACGATCGCCGCCGAGCATCCCCGCCGATCGTTGCCGTGCCAACCCGCTGTGCCCAGACGGAGCGTCGCTCAGGCCCACGACCGCCGCCACGGTCCCGCCGCCGGCGTCGCCGCCGCCGCCGCCGTCGCCGCCGGGTTCGTCGTCGGCCTCGCCGCCGAAAGATTTCGCCGCCTCCGGCGCGAGGTCGGCCGCGACGGGGGGGGGGGCCGGGGGGCGGCGGCGTCGTGGCGGCGTTCACGCCGATCTCGGTGAACCCCGTGCCGAAGCCGCGGCGGACGTTCGAGTACCACGCGGAGCGGACGCCGGCACCGGTGGCGGCGGATGGCGCCGGGGAGGAGGAGGGGGGGGATGGGGAGGAATCCGGCAGCGTGGGGGAGGGATGCCGAGTAGGAGGGGAGCGACCGCTGGAGGAGACCCCCGTGGTGCCGCGGAAGCCGAGGGCCGCCCGTGGCAAGAGTCGGTTCGGCAGCGGCGGCGGAGGCAGCAAGTGCGTCGGTGTCACTAGCGGTCACTCACGGTCACTAGCGGTCACTAGCGGTCACTCACGGTCACTCACGGTTACTAACAGTCACTAACAGTCACTAGTGGTCACTAGCGGTCACTAGCGGTCACTCACGGTCACTAACAGTCACTAACAGTCACTAGCGGTCACTCACGGTCACTAACAGTCACTAGTGGTCACTAGTGGTCACTAGTGGTCACTAGCAGTCACTAACAGTCACTAACAGTCACTAGCGGTCACTAACAGTCACTAGCGGTCACTCACAGTCACTAGCGGTCACTAGCGGTCACTCACGGTCACTAACAGTCACTAGCGGTCACTAACAGTCACTAGCGGTCACTCACTGTCACTAACAGTCACTCACAGTCACTAACAGTCACTAGCGGTCACTCACGGTCACTAGAGGTCACTAGCGGTCACTCACGGTCACTAACAGTCACTCACAGTCACTAACAGTCACTAGCGGTCACTCACGGTCACTAGAGGTCACTAGCGGTCACTCACGGTCACTCACGGTCACTAACAGTCACTAGTGGTCACTAGCGGTCACTCACGGTCACTCACGGTCACTTGTGGTCACTCGTGGTCACTAACAGTCACTAGTGGTCACTCACGGTCACTAACAGTCACTAGCGGTCACTCACGGTCACTAACAGTCACTAACAGTCACTCACGGTCACTCGTGGTCACTCCTGGTCACTAGCGGTCACTAGCGGTCACTAGCGGTCACTAACAGTCACTAACAGTCACTAGCGGTCACTCACGGTCACTCACGGTCACTAACAGTCACTAGTGGTCACTCACGGTCACTCACGGTCACTAACAGTCACTAACAGTCACTAACAGTCACTAACAGTCACTAGTGGTCACTCACGGTCACTCACGGTCACTCACGGTCACTAACGGTCACTAGCGGTCACTCACGGTCACTCACGGTCACTAACAGTCACTCGTGGTCACTCGCGCGCACAAAGAGAAACGCTCCGTTGGAGGGCTGCACTTATCATTTGGAGTTGATCTCATTTACAAAACGAGCGTCCGAAAGCGAGAGAGAGATATTATTTAAACGTGTGTATGTATGTAGGTTGAACTTCTGTTGCACCGTATGAAGCCAACCGTGCTAATTGGAGGTGTGGAGGGAAGAACAACAAACTAAATACAAAGATTCGTTCTAAAGAAAAGCTTTCTCAATGTGTCCTCGTGTCTATGTGCACGTGAACATGTGTGTGTGTCTGTGCCTATGTACACGTGTGTATGTGTGTACACGTGTGCGTTCCTTCATGCGCAGGAAATCTCTGGAGGGCAGTGAGACCCCGAGGGATCGAGGTGAGGGGCTCCCGCCCATCGGCAGGAAAAACCCGGAGCGGAGGAGCACACACGGGCGGAATGGCTCGGAGGAGAACGTGTACGAGGATATCGTCGGTAAGGGAGCCCCCCCCCCCCCCACCCCGTCATCATAGGTGCCGGCCTTAATTAAACTATAAAAAAACTTATTTTTGGTTCTTTCGGTAAAGTCACGTTGAAGGGAAACAATTAAATATATATAAAACAATAAAATTCTCACGACGTTTCGACTGTAACACAAACAGTCATCATCAGGTGTGAAAACCAACGGCAAGAAACATTTGAAAGAAGTGGCGGTTTGTATTTATTTATTTTTAAACGTTAGCACCACGGAGAGCGATTTGACAGTTTGTTTAGATGGACGAGTCCATCTATGTTCGGAAAAGAGGAGGGGGGAGACGAAAAATTATTGGTATTGCCCCAGAGTCGCGGCATCTCTTCAGAAAGGTGAGAGACTCGATCAGCGGAGCCTTCTTATCCCGGAGTTTGTTGAAGGATCTTAAAGCTTTAAATCAAAAATATAAAAAAAACGATTAAACTATTTTTATTTCACCAGGTAAGGCCCACTGAGCTTGTACGGCTCTTTTTCAGAAGTGACCTGGCTATCACAAACGGATAGCTCAACGAAGTTCGCTTATCAGAATCAGAATCAGAAAGGGTTTTATTCGCCATGTAAGTTCACACCGACACGGAATTTACTTTGGCAGGATGGTGCATACATTCAACATATAGGAATCTAAAATCTTAAATAAGTTTTAAACAAGTCTTACTATAATAAGGGTTAAAAGTCTAACACCAAGGGGCTGAAGTATATAAAATTAAATAAATATCGAATATAAAATAGCTTTAAGATATAATTTAAAAATAAAAAATACAAATAGGGTAACATAGTTAATATCGGCAAGGTGTCGTTATGTAGATCAAATGATAAAAACAGTGTTAGCCCTTGGCCTTGTTCATCATGGCATGGCAATGTATAGCAGCCAAATTCTCTGAGCCCGTGACGTTGGTTCTAAATGTGGAGAGAGAAAAAAAAACAGAGGACCCGTAAAAACATCCACGCGTCCACGGGGATAGAGAGAGAGACCCACCGCAAACTCCAAATAAACAGCAGGCATCGTCAGGGTCGGGATCGAACCCACGAGCTCCTGCGTACCGGGCGAGGTAGTCAACATCTCCTAGCCACCGTGGCCCCCTAATAGGTGCCCCAACGATCTATGTATGTACACCCGGCGGGAGGTGTGGAGGGGGGGACTTTACCTGTATCTGTGCATGGCGGCGGCGCCGGCGTCGCTGGGGGGGCGCCAGCAGACGCGGCGCGGGAGAACCCCTACGAGGACGTGGAGCCGCACTGCTTCTTCACGGGGCGCAAGCGGGCGTTCTCGTCGCGCAATGGGCGCCGCTCGTCCGCACAGCGGCCCTGGGGACAGCTGCGCAAGTTCTCCACTCCGTCGCCGGTATGCGCGCGCGTGCACACACACACACACACACGCGTGCACACACACACACACGCATGCGTGTGAGAAGGCGTATGTGAACGTGCGTGTGCGTAGGTGCATGCTTGTACGTCTATACGCGTGACAAGTGTCTGTTAGGGCTCTGCGGGGGAACTTTGTCTTTGGGGAGCGGTGGCGCAGCGGTTAGCGCTACGCTGCGCGACGAACTCGGCAACCGGCGTTCGATTCCCGCTCACGGACAACATTGGTGACGAACAATTGAACTCGTACCGGGCTTCCCCTAGGTCAACTCAGCCTTAAATGAGCACCTTGGTGCGGTGTCCCTGGGGTCGGCCGAGCGCTGACAACCACCCCCAGGAGTGGGTGGCGCACGCCGTGGTAGAGACCAGCCCGAGGCCAATCGCACGAGCCGGTGGGACCAGGCGAGAGAATCGGAATCAGAATCTCTCTTTAGACGGGAGGAGGAATCCGGTGAGCTATGAAGCTCTTTTTCACAGACGTCCAGTAAGGGGAATGGGGTTAGCAAAGTTACAGCAGCAACAATAACAACAACAATTCTAGATTTAAAGCTTTCGTGACTGCAAGGATCCATACTCTTTGGTTCTATTGGGTAAAGTCACGTAGGTAAAAAATAAAATAACAAAAATCACGACGTTTCGGCCACAACACAAGCGGCCTTCATCAGGTGAAGCGACGAGACTGTCTGGAGGACTGTTCTTGTTGTTGTTATGGCCGAAACGTCGTGATTTTTGTAATTTTATTTTTTACCTACGTGACTTTACCCAATAGAACCCAAGAGTACAACAACAACAATTAGCAATACAACAAACGAAAGGATTGCAAAGTAGAGAACACGTAAGCAAATCACTAAAAACTAAATAACGTTTATTAGTAGAAATTGCATAAGTAGATACATTTCTGGCGATTTTTCAACACTCAGTGCAAGCTTGGGCAAGGCAATAAGACAGCAACAGTCCCAGAGCACACCGAGGCAACTCGCAGTCTCTCAATTAAATTGCACATTAAAGTTGAACGATTGAGACTGCATGCTGGGGGTGGTCATCAGAGTTAGGGTTGAGTGTCAACTAAAACTCCAAATATACAGGCATCGTCAGTGTCGGGGTCAGGGTCGGGATGGAACCTACGACCTCCTGCATACCAGGCGAGGGAGATAACATCTCCTAGCCACCGTGGCGCCAGTGACTAACCTCCTCTTCCACGTCGTTTCCTGCCCCCCGCCCCTCCCTCCCAGAGCCACCGCAGAACCCAGAGCCTCATGGGCAGCTGTCCCCACTCTGCGCCATCGACGACGGCGTCGTCCTCGCCGGGGGCGGTGGGGCTCAACGGGGGCGACTCGGAGGGGCGGCGACGCCTGCCGCTCCAGAAGACGCTGACGGAGCCGGCGATGGCGACGACGCTGGTGGGGCCCCGGCGCTCCCTGGGCGGGGGGGGATCCCCCCGCCGCGGGGGGGCCACGGAGGACACCGCGAGCACGGCCAGCGACGCCTCCTTCCGGCAGCAGCTCCCCCGCCGTGTACCCAAGGTAAAGGGGGGGCGGGGGGAGGAGGTGGCGAGATGTTATCTCCGTCGCCTGGTACGCAGGAGGTCATGGGTTCGAGCCCGACTCTGACAACGCCTGCTGCTGCTGCTGCAGATTTGGAGTTTGCTCGTCTCTCTCTCTCTCTCTCCCCCCGTGGTCGCGTGGATTTTCCCCTTGGTCGTCCGGTTTTTCCCTCCGCATTTCGAATCAGCGTGTGCGATTAGAGTAATTGGCTGCATTATGTGTGAATGTACGTTGAACTGCTTTCGCACCGTACGAAGCCAACCGTGCTAATCGGAGGTGCGTGGGAACAACAACAACAATAACAAACTAGACACAAAAAGTAGTATTTCCACACGATAAGCCACTTCGTGGCTATGTAGCTCAGTGTGGCCTTACCTGGTAAAATAGAAAAATAGTCTAGTTTTAGATTGGGGGGCGAAGGTGAGGGAGCTATGACCTGGCGTCTAGGCTGCTGCTGCTGCTGCTGCTGCCACTGCACACAGAGGGATTGGCCACTGCGTGCGGCCCCAGTTGCTCCCCAGATGGGATCAAAAGGCGAGGGGCGGAACTGCCAACTGGGGTGGCGGGGAAGGGCGAGACTGGAGCCAGTAGCCACGTGCTTTGCCTTAAAACCACACGGGCACGCGCGCACACAAAGACAAAGGTCCACCGTGTAGCCCACCCCACACAAGGTCGGGGGCAAGTGAAGTGCCGTCAACCTTCACCTGCAAAGGCCGGCTAGGCATGCAAAGTACACGTGGCGTGTCCAGCACCGCCCCGCCTCGGCCACCTTTGTCTCCCCGGTGCTGAAGCTTTACACGTCGCAGCAGTTGAAATTATTATTACAACAAGGTAATCGTACCATAGATGTAACAACACGTAAGGGTGCGCATTGAGCTGGTGGTCTGGGCAAGGCTGGGAGCCTTTGCACGTGCAACACACTTGCTCCTATCGCTGTTTGTATTTGTTTGTTTGTTGTTGTAACTGTGACCAGGGGACATCTGTGGAAAAGAGCTTCACGGCTCATCGGATTCCTCCGGCAGTCCAGATAAAGATTCTGAGTTCCGTACTTTTTTTTCCCGGCCGGCGATTGCGCTGCGACGAGATTCGCCCCGTCGCCCGCCCAGCTGACTTTCCCTCTCCGCTCGTCTCTCCCCCTCCCCAAGATGGTGCAGAAGATCAACGAGGTGTTCACGGCGAAGCGCGGGAAGAAGCGCTGGAGGAAGACGTCGCCTAGCAACGCGGAGACCGCCTCCCTGCGCGGTGAGCCCCGTCGTCGCCACGGCGACCGCTCCTGGTCACGGCGGCCACGGCCATCGTGAGCCACAAACGGCGTCAAGTCAATGGGTCGCCCATAGCATGGGATTCCCCCCCCCCTCGTTCCAGTTTGGCGAGTTCACCATGACGTCAGCTCGTTCCGTCAGCCCACCATCGCGTGTGTGCCCTTCGGAGATCTGAACCAGTACCGGCCCTTCCTCGAGGTCGACTCAGCCTTTACGTGAGCACCCCGCCTTTGTCTCACTGGGGAGACAAAGGCGGCCGGGCAAGGTCCTGGCCACACGACCTTCTCGTGTGCCGAGCCGCCGGCCTTCATAGGTGCTGCTAATCGCTAACGGCACTTGCCCCAACAGTCTCTTGAGGCCGTACGGGGGGGGGGGGGAGAGATCTTTGGCTTTGCGCTCGTACACTTGACGTAGCGTCGAGAGGAATGTGGTCCTGCTGTCTGACCTCCATCCCCCACCCAAACCCCGTCATAGATCAGCAAACCAAGGGCAACGCAAATAATTAACAATCAAGAGCTGATATTTCACGGGGTTATTTTCTTCCAAAAAATTCCAGCGCACGTAGCTTTCCCACCATTGCTCGACCGTGAACTTTGACCCTTTGCGATTACTTCACGGGAAGGTGAAGCGTGGGGGGATGAGCGATGGCGCACGGCCTCGTGTGACGCACTACCATGAGTTTGTTTGATGTTTTTTTTTTTTAAATTCCACATTCCTATGGCAGGGTGCAGTTTATCGAAGGGGGGACGGTGTTGACAGTGGCCATGTAATGGAATGTCATGCGACGTCTGTTTCTTCTGCTGTTTCCCCCCCCCCCCACATGCCCCCCTACCCCCCCTCACCCCCGCCCACGGTCAGGCGACAACAGCGAGAGCGACAGCGACTCGGACGATCACAGCAAAGGTGCGTCACGACGTGAGATGGCCCAGTGGTGGCGTTGACACGAGGGACGATGACGGACGGATGTGACCCTGCGAACTGCTGCCCATCGCACGCAGAAACAACGGATCCCCCGTGTAGCCTTAACAGACTGCTGGGGCAAGCGCTGTTTGCGAGCACCTATGACAGCCGGCACGGCATAGGAGGGGGTGGGTGGCCATCAGCCACGCCCGGCCGCCTTTGTCTCCCCAGCGGTGATGTTTGTTATCCACCCCGCACCAGGTACTCATGAAAGGGCCCAGCTAACCTAGGGGAGGCCCAGGCTCGGTATAGATATTAGTCACTGATGTTGGCCGTGAGCAGGAATCGAACTCGGGTCACCGGATTCGTAGCACGGCACGCTAATTAATTAATACACTCCCTCTACGTGCCCACACGCACACACATGCGTATACGCAGTTTGTACGCACAAACGCAAACATGTACGCACAAACGCACATCCCGGCTAGATTATTACGTGCCTTACAATCGACCGATCGATCATCACGGTGCTCATATTTTACTTTCAACCGCTCCCTCCCCCCCGTGACCTCTGACCCCCCTTCCCCCCCCCCCCCCATGGTGTGGCGAGCAGAGCACGCGTGGAGGCTGGTGCGCATGGCGCGGCTGCGCGCACGCACACGTGGTCACCGCACGCTGGAGCGCGAGCTGCTCGAGTGGCAGGAGCGCCAGCTGCTCGAGTGCTTCCTGGTGGTGGCGCTGCGTGCCAAGCCGACGGGGCGCGGATACCAGCCCGAGGTCACCTACCAGTTCCCCAAGGTACGTGGGCACCAGCCCCAGGTCACCTACCAGTTCCCCAAGGTACGTGGGCACCAGCCCCAGGTCACCTACCAGTTCCCCAAGGTACGTGGGCACCAGCCCCAGGTCACCTACCAGTTCCCCAAGGTACGTGGGCACCAGCCCCAGGTCACCTACCAGTTCCCCAAGGTACGTGGGCACCAGCCCCAGGTCACCTACCAGTTCCCCAAGGTACGTGGGCACCAGCCCCAGGTCACCTACCAGTTCCCCAAGGTACGTGGGCACCAGCCCCAGGTCACCTACCAGTTCCCCAAGGTACGTGGGCACCAGCCCCAGGTCACCTACCAGTTCCCCAAGGTACACGGATACCAGCCCCAGGTCACCTACCAGTCTCCCAAGGTACGTGGGCACCAGCCCCAGGTCACCTACCAGTTCCCCAAGGTACACGGATACCAGCCCCAGGTCACCTACCAGTTCCCCAAGGTACGTCGGCACCAGCCCCAGGTCACCTACCAGTTCCCCAAGGTACGCGAATACCAGCCCCAAGTCACCTACCAGTCTCCCAAGGTACGTGGGCACCAGCCCCGGGTCACCTACCAGTTCCCCAAGGTACGTGGGCACCAGCCCCAGGTCACCTACCAGTCTCCCAAGGTACGTGGGCACCAGCGCCAGGTCACCTACCAGTTCCCCAAGGTACGCGGGCACCAGCCCCAGGTCACCTACCAGTTCCCCAAGGTACGTGGGCACCAGCCCCAGGTCACCTACCAGTCTCCCAAGGTACGTGGGCACCAGCGCCAGGTCACCTACCAGTTCCCCAAGGTACATGGGCACCAGCCCCAGGTCACCTACCAGTTCCCCAAGGTACGTGGGCACCAGCCCCAGGTCACCTACCAGTTCCCCAAGGTACGTGGGCACCAGCCCCAGGTCACCTACCAGTTCCCCAAGGTACGTGGGCACCAGCCCCAGGTCACCTACAAGTCTCCCAAGGTACGTGGGCACCAGCCCCAGGTCACCTACCAGTCTCCCAAGGTACGTGGGCACCAGCCCCAGGTCACCTACCAGTTCCCCAAGGTACGTGGGCACCAGCCCCAGGTCACCTACCAGTTCCCCAAGGTACATGGGCACCAGCCCCAGGTCACCTACCAGTTCCCCAAGGTACGTGGGCACCAGCCCCAGGTCACCTACCAGTTCCCCAAGGTACGTGGGCACCAGCCCCAGGTCACCTACCAGTTTCCCAAGGTACGTGGGCACCAGCCCCAGGTCACCTACAAGTCTCCCAAGGTACGTGGGCACCAGCCCCAGGTCACCTACCAGTCTCCCAAGGTACGTGGGCACCAGCCCCAGGTCATCTACCAGTCTCCCAAGGTACGTGGGCACCAGCCCCAGGTCACCTACCAGTCTCCCAAGGTACGTGGGCACCAGCCCCAGGTCACCTACCAGTTCCCCAAGGTACGTGGGCACCAGCCCCAGGTCACCTACCAGTTCCCCAAGGTACGTGGGCACCAGCCCCAGGTCACCTACAAGTCTCCCAAGGTACGTGGGCACCAGCCCCAGGTCACCTACCAGTCTCCCAAGGTACGTGGGCACCAGCCCCAGGTCATCTACCAGTCTCCCAAGGTACGTGGGCACCAGCCCCAGGTCACCTACCAGTCTCCCAAGGTACGTGGGCACCAGCCCCAGGTCACCTACCAGTTCCCCAAGGTACACGGAAACCAGCCCCAGGTCACCTACCAGTTCCCCAAGGTACGCGGGCACCAGCCCCAGGTCACCTACCAGTCTCCCAAGGCACGTGGGCACCAGCCCCAGGTCACCTACCAGTTCCCCAAGGTACGTGGGCGCTATCCCCAGGTCACCTACCAGTTCCCCAAGGTACGCGGGCACCAGCCCCAGGTCACCTACCAGTCTCCCAAGGCACGTGGGCACCAGCCCCAGGTCACCTACCAGTTCCCAAGGTACGTGGGCACCAGCCCCAGGTCACCTACCAGTCTCCCAAGGCACGTGGGCACCAGCCCCAGGTCACCTACCAGTCTCCCAAGGTACGTGGGCACCAGCCCCAGGTCACCTACCAGTTCCCCAAGGTACACGGATACCAGCCCCAGGTCACCTACCAGTTCCCCAAGGTACGCGGGCACCAGCCCCAGGTCACCTACCAGTCTCCCAAGGCACGTGGGCACCAGCCCCAGGTCACCTACCAGTTCCCCAAGGTACGTGGGCGCTATCCCCAGGTCACCTACCAGTTCCCCAAGGTACGCGGGCACCAGCCCCAGGTCACCTACCAGTCTCCCAAGGCACGTGGGCACCAGCCCCAGGTCACCTACCAGTTCCCCAAGGTACGTGGGCACCAGCCCCAGGTCACCTACCAGTCTCCCAAGGCACGTGGGCACCAGCCCCAGGTCACCTACCAGTCTCCCAAGGCTGGTTGTGTTTATGAAAACTCAAGAGACGAGGGTTGGAGTCTCGTCAGCGCGGGCAGCCCGGCTTGCCGGCAGGCCTTGCCCCCCCCATCCACCCACCCTGGCGTTGTGACGTCACCCGGGGGGTGTTTGTCTGTGACTTGCAGCTGGAGCGCCTGACGAAGGAGGTGCGGGAGTCCGAGGAGAGGATCAAGGCCATCCCCCAGTTCTGCTTCCCAGACGCACGCGACTGGGCGCCCATCACCCACTACACCAGGTGGGGAGGGGGTGTCTCACCGTGCGTGTGTGGGGAGTGACCATTATCTGAACCACTCCTGGGTCTCCCATAGGTTGACTCAGCCTCAAATGAGTACCTGGTGTGGTGGATAAAACATCGCCACTGGGGAGACAAAGGCGGTCGGGCGTGGTGCTGGCCACCCACCCCCTCGTGTGCCGTAACAGCCTTCATAGGTGCTACTCGCGAACAGCACTTGCCGCTTCAGCCTGTTAAGGCTATCTGGGGGATCTTTTTCTTCGTTGTTTCTCTCTCCCAGTTAACCCACAACACCTGGGTGTGTTCCGTGACCCCAGTCGGAGAGACTTCGACACGTCACATGACAGCCTGCCTAACGTGCACCTAGCCTGGCACAAGCGCTGTGGCGACATCACCACCACTGGCTGGCCGTTGCGGCTGTTGCTGTTGATCTGTGTTGAGCCGTGCGGTGTTGACGCGCTTGCCCCGTCCGGCCGTGCCTTGCGCAGCGAGATGTTCTCCTTCGTGCTGACGACGAGCGACGGGAGCCGCCGGTTCGGCTACTGCAGGCGTCTCCTGGTAACCACAACACCGCCGCAATCATCGCAACCGCCGCAATCTTCGCCAGCACCACGATCATAGCAACTGGCACAACCACCGTGCAACCACCGTAATGTCGCGGTCACATCCGCCGCAACCACCGCAATCATTACAGCCGCAACCATCGCAACTGCCACAACCACCACAACTGGCGCAACAACACAACCACCGCGATCAGCATCGCAACCAAACCACGACAGCCACCGAATCCCACAATCTGTTGGAACCGTCGCAGCGACGGAAACCTTGCAGCGGCAGCCGCGGCCGTCCATATGGGGGGAGGTGCAGGGCTTGGGGCAACTTACACCGTGTGGGCCCGCGATGCCTTCAGACTAAACCGCTAGTGTGACATCAGACGCCGTCACGTCCAATTCGGGGGCCGCCCATCGGGGATGTCTCTGAGCGCAGCAGGGGAATGGCGCTCCCGGCCTGCGAATGCGAGGCAGCGTGCTCCCCGCCTGTTCCCACCCGCGTGTTCCCACCCGCGTGTTCCCACCCGCGTGTTCACACCCGCGTGTTCACACCCACGTGTTCACACCCACGTGTTCCCCGCGTGTTCCCACCCGCCTGTTCCCACCCGCCTGTTCCCACCCGCGTGTTTCCCCCCACGTGTTCCCCCCCGCGTGTTCCCACCCGCGTGTTCCCACCCGCCTGTTCCCACCTGCCTGTTCCCACCCGCCTGTTCCCCCCCGTCTTCCCACCCACGTGTTCCCACCCACGTGTTCCCCCACGTGTTCCCCCCCGCGTGTTCCCCCCCGCGTGTTCCCACCCGCGTGTTCCCACCCGCGTGTTTCCCGGTTCCCGAGCGTTTCCCGGTTCCCGAGCGCTGCGCTGCCGTTTTGTGTCTCGCAGCCGAGCGGCAAGGGCCCGCGCCTGCCTGAGGTTCACTGCATCGTCAGCCGCCTCGGCTGCTTCACCCTCTTCTCAAAGGTGCGCGGGGGCGGCGGAGAGGGAGAGTGGCACGGTGGGAGAGTGAGTGGGAGTGAGTGGGAGAGTGGAGTGTGTTCGTGAAGGACGCTGCTACTGTGCAGTTGGAGGCAGTCGCCCTCCAACAACAACGGAGGGCGGAGGAGCGACGCTCACAACAACGCGCGGAGCGCCGGGCGGATAAAATGCAGCGACATTCGATGCGCTGTGCGCTCACCACAGCGCCCCGCCGCCCCCTCACCACCCATCGATGTTATCGTCGCGCGGAACTCTTGAAAACTTTACAGGCTAAATGGTTGCTCCACTCAGGAGGGGGTGGTGGTGGTTGAGAGCTGGGGGCTTCCGCCTCCCGGGGTACAACACCCAGGAGGTGCCATGGGGAGAAGAGGAAGAGCCACTCGTGAATGCATCGTCTCGAGTGCCTGATGCGGTGTTGTTCTGATTATTCTTGATTTGAAGCTTTCGTGACTGCAGGAATTCATACTCTTTGGTTCTTTCGGTAAAGTCGCATAGTTAGTGGTTGTCCCACCTGATGAAGTACGTGACTTTACCGAAAGAACCAAAGACTATGTTCTGATTATTCTTATTATTATTGTAATTATTACGCAACTCGAAGAACAAACAAAGGCCCGGCAATTGTAATGTCCTGGGGAAACGTAGCGGAGTTCCCAGGGCGGCATCTGCTGCTGCTGCTGTCTCGTCAACAAGGCAGGATCCTCTGGGACAATCCGGGACTGCCCCGACCGTACAACTCCCAAGTTGCCCACTGATCCGTGGAGGTGATGGCTCCCCCACGAGAGACGGTGTCTGAATGATCATCCACGTGACCTCCCTTACCACCATTACCCTCGTCTCTGTGTCTCTGTGTCTCGTGTCCCAGTGTCCCCGTGTCTCTGGATCAGTGGCGGCTGGGGGGCAGGGGAGCCTCTCTGCAGTCCAGATAATCCCCCAGGGCATCTCCACACTGTCGCAAATCCAATGATAAATCAATGCCACAGGAAGTCCAGGAAGTCGGAGGGGGGGCTGGGGGTGGCGGGGTTAGAGAGTATAGTGGCGGTGGCAATGGGAGGAGAGGGATAGTGGGGGGCTAAAGGGGGGAGGGGGTCGCTCTCAGTTAACCGGTGCCCCCTCCCCCCTCCCTCTTCTCATTGCCCATGCCCCCCCCCCTGCGATTCGATGCGTTGTTGCCATTCAAGAACCAATTTACATTTTAAAAAATATTCCGCGTGACTCAAAAGTATATTTTTTGTCGTTTTCACCGAGCTAAAGCTCCACCCAGCTAAAGCTTGACCCGCGATCACAGAGCAAACTGCGTGGGAGCTGCACGCGCACTTTCGGGGTGGTCACCCCCCTGGCCTCGCATTGTGGCGCGAGACGGAGCGCGCCAGCGGCCCCAGGTGGCCGCAGAGAGAGCGAGAGACAGGCAGAGAGAGGCAGGCAGAGAGAGACAGGTAGAGAGAGAGACAGGGAGAGAGAGGCAGAGGAGCGCGTGCTTGGCTCGAGAGCCGATGGACGAGAGGTAGTATCCATCGGCTCTTTCCGCCACCCCCCCTCGCTACAGCGTTGGGGACTCCTTTATCCGAGCGCTACTCCACCCACCCTCTTCTCCCCAACGAGGTGGAGAGCGCATTTTGGCGGGGGGTGATTGAGACGCTTCGTAACATAGCGAACCACCTGCTTCGGGTTGACGGCCATCCCTGGTTATGCTGGACTGGGCAGGTCCTCGTTTAGCGCGCTAGGAGATACGTTCCTACACAGTTTCGCGTTAAGCGAAAACAATTCCCCCCCCCCCCCGTAAGTAATGTGATGATGATAATGATGATGGTCAGGTGTGGCGAGATTCCGCCGGCCTGCCACGAACTGCCACGTGGGACAAACCGAGTGCACGCCTCCGCCGACGCGACACTGTATCACTCCGCTCAGCCGCGCAGCTCAAGAAAGTAGTTCGCCGTCAACCCCCAAGAAACCGCGTTATAACGGGGGGGGGGGGGGGGTCAAAGCGTTACCGCGTTAAGCGAGGACTTGCCCTACTGGTTCGCGCCGAGCGTCTCGTTTCTGGTGGCGTGGGGGGGGGGGGTGACGGCTGTGGAATTCTCTCTGCGACCCTTGTGATGGAGACACCGGGACACGAGGGCACGTGGGCGTCGGGATTAGGCGGCGGACTGAGTGGTTCACGCACCCAGCGACCCGAGTGCGTGCGCGCGTGTGTGTGTACGTGTGTGTGTGCATACGTGCGTGTGTGTACGTGTGTGTATACGCGGTAGTGTAGCGGTTAGCGCGCTGCGCTATGAACCTGGCGACCCGGGTTCGATTCCCGCTCACGGCCAACACCAGTGACGATTATCTGAACCGGTCATCGGCCTCCCCTAGGTCGACTCAGCCTCAAATGAGTACCTGGTGCAGTGGATAAAAACATTGCCACTGGGGAGACAAAGGCGGTCGGGCGTGGTGCTGGCCACCCACCCCCTCGTGTACCGTTCCGGCCTTCATAGGTGCTCGTTAACAGCACTTGCCCCTACAGTCTGTTACAGGCTATATGGGGGATCTTTGTCTTTTGTTTTCGTGTGTATACGTGGGGAGCGGTGGCGTAGCAGTTAGCGCGCTGCGCTACGAATCCGGCTACACGAGTTCGAAATCTCTACAGCCAACGCCAGGGACAGTTATCTAAACCGGTCCTGGACCTCACCTAGGTCGACTCAACCTCAAATGAGTACCTGGTGCGGTGTGTAAACATCGCCACTGCGGAGACAAATGCGGCCGGGCGTGGTGCTGGCCACCCAACCATTCTCGAGCGCCGCGCCGACCTTCGTAGGTGCTCGCCAACAGCACTTGCCCCAGCAGTCTATTAAAGGCTATACGGGGGACCTTTGCCTTTGTGAGTCTGCTCAAGTGGGGGTGAGTTTGCGAGTGCTGGGAACCCATCGGCGCCCGCTTGTTTCCTCGCCCGGCTGCTGCTGCTGCTGACTCACTCCACTGACTCACTCCACTGACTCACCCGGCAGACGCGAGTCTGTCAAACTCGTTCACTCGCTCGCCCCGTCGTGCCCTGCCCTGCCCCCCGCCCCAGTGCCCCCCACCTCGCTACGGTCTGATTCACTGCAGCCAGAAATGACACAGCTTTGCTCCGCTGAGCTCAGAACCGCGAGGTTCAACCCCACAAACAGGTGCGAAGGCAAATATCCGGCCCCTTACTACCTGAGATGCGTACGTGTTATTTGTCCGACGTTTCGTTTCCCGGAGCTTCTTCAGAATATACACCGTGCACGAACGACGCGCGGCGCGAACAACAACAACAACAACCCGTCGGGGAGTGACGGCTGCACCCAGATGGATTCTAGAATCCTCCACGGCTGTCATGCCTCCGACTCTGCCTCGACCCTCGCGTTGTTTCTGTCCTGAGGGGTGCCCCGCCCCCCCGCCCCCCGTCTCTGTCTCAAACATCAAAGAGGGGGGGGGGGTGGTCTGAGGTCTCGTGCGAGCGGAGCGGCGTGGACGGCGCGAGACGCCGCGGTGACGTCACGCCCTCACCGCCGCTCCGTTCCTGCCCCGTCAAATTACGGCGGAATTTTTGTTGCTGCCGTTGCCCGGCGGGGGGGGGGGGGGGGGGGCGGTGGGGGGCGGGGGGGGGCGGTGGGGGGCAGTGGGGGGGGCACGGCGACCCCCGGGGCGCCGAGCGCGGCGAGCCGCTGACTCGGTCCCTCCATTCGCCTGCCACGCGGGAGGGACGTGGGCTCGATCCCGGATCCCCCCGACGGTGTCCTCTCGTTTGTGTGACTTTAACGATGCTTGAAGAGTATTTGGCTGCTCTCAATGTCCGCGTGATGAGCAATTTGGGTTGCGCGATCGTTTGTGGTCGGGTCGCTTCTGAAAGATAGCTTCATAGTTTAGTGGGCCTTGCCCGGTAACATAAAAAAAATGGTTTCTAGTTTTCTTTTAGTTTCTAGAAAATATTTGGAATGCGCGTGTTCTCTCTCTCTCTCCCTCTCTTCCCGTGTTGGTGGCGCGGATTCTTCTCCGGGCTCCTCCGATTATACCCCACCCGCCCCCACATGTTTAAACGACACGCATTTTGATTATATGGCCGCAACTATACATTCCCACGTGCGATGATGATGATGATGACAACGACGACGATGATGATATAATCCACTTCGATGAGCTATCACGTGTGGCCCCAGGCCGCCTCTGAAAAGAAGTAGCCCGTAGCTCAGGTGCGAGCTCTACCTGCTGAATAAAACGCCCCAGCTGCAGGGTAATGATGACCCCTTTTATTGATCCCCGAGAAGAGCGTTGAGGGAGCGCGACTGGGAGGAGACGGGGGATGGGTGGGGGGGGGATGCCGCCTTCTTGGGACGTTCGGCCGATCCCATTGCGACCACGACGACGACGAAGGTTTTTGGGGGCTCACGAAAGGCGGGGGACGCCAAACCCCACGTGGTAGGGTTGGTGAGAAAGCCCAGCCGGGCACACGGCGGGGATGGAGGGTGGGGGGACCGCTCAATGCTCCGCCGCACGGGTCGATTGAATAATCTAAATGGAGGAACTCCTCTCTTGATCCGAGTCGCGAGCACGCATTAACTCTCGATGTTTCCTGGGGGGTCCTGGCGCCGTGCGTGGATCTGGCGTACACACAAACACACGTACACGCGTGTACATGTGTGTGTGTGTACGTGTGTGTACGTGTGTGCACGCCTGGGATAGAGGCAGGGCGGGGGTTGCGCTGTCAAAAGCAGCTGGCAGTGAGTTACAAAAAACAAAAAAATTTAACCGGAACCAGCGACTCCTAAAGAGCACAGCCTTCCCTAAGGCCATGTCCCCCTCACCCCCTCCCCCCAATCCCCCCATTCCCCCCCACCCCCTCCCATTCCCTCCCATCCCCCCATCCTGCTCGCACGCTCCCCCCACCCCTCCTCCCTCCATCGCTCGTTCCTGAAGTCGCCCCCCCCCCACCCCCCTTGGGGTCCAAATCAGCTCCAGGTGACGCGGGGAGTTCACGAGATGCCTCCTTCCTTCAAAGCCACAACCGGCACGCACACACGTGCACGCGCGCACACGTGCGGTGTATTCTGGTTTCCTCCCAGAACTGGTATGCATGTACGTTGGACTTCCTTCGCACCGTACATATCAAACCATGCTCAACGGAGGTGTACGTATGTTTATTGAACTTACTTTGCAGCGTACGTAGCCAACCGTGCAGGGGAAGGACGGCAAACTAAAACGCAAGAAGCAGTTCTCGCTGAAGAAACAGCCGTGCAATGCAATTGGTATTGGCCAATAAATATATCCCATTAGCTGGGGAAATTATCTACAAATTAATTGGAATTCGTACGCCAGCAGCAGCAACATCATCAAAGCCCCCCCCCCCCCTCCCTCACCCATACTGTGAAAAACGTGGCAGGACTCTCCAGAAGAAGATTCTTGAGACTCGCCGAGGCTCTTGTGGGCAAGCAAGCTGAACGATAATAATAATAATAGAGGAGAGACGCACACGGGGGTCCCCCCTTGTCTTAGAGTGATCGTCAGCGTTCATCATGGGCATGACCACCACCATCAGCATGAACATTCATTCATTGTCCTGATGCAGGGGTCATCGTCCAATCACCATCGGCGTCATCACAATTCACCGTTGTAATTTTGCGATCGTCTCGAGCAATAACTTAACGTGGAATTAACACGAAGCGTGATAGTTTTTACGTCACTCATGAAGTTACTCGTCACACTGCATGGTCATCGAAGGCGCCACCACCATGGTCGACGTCGTCGACATGGAATGAGATTGTTTTCAAGCCACCCGTCATCATCGTCTCGGTATCATCATCATCGTCTTGGTATCATCATCATCATCATCGTCTTGGTATCATCATCATCGTCTTGGTATCATCATCATCGTCGTCTCGGTATCATCATCATCATCGTCTTGGTATCATCATCATCGTCATCATCATCATCATCATCGTCTTGGTATCATCATCATCGTCGTCTCGGTATCATCATCATCGTCTCGGTATCATTGTCATCATCATCATCGTCTTGGTATCATCGTCATCATCATCATCGTCTCGGTATCATCATCATCATCGTCGTCGTCTCGGTATCATCATCAACATCATCGTCTCGGTATTATCATCATCGTCGTCTCGGTATCATCATCACGACCATCGGCTCTCCATCCATCGGCGGCTCACGTTCTCACAGTCATCGCGTTTTTAGGTCAGTTCCTAAAAAACGTGCAGCTGCGCTGGATGTTATTTTTAGAAACTCCCGCGTCGACTTCCAATTCTAGCCGCGAGTAAAAAATATATAAAATAGTAATAATAAAAATAATAGTAGTAGTAATAATAATAGCTCCCGGGTCGGGGTTCTGGGCGAGACCCCAAACCAGAAACACCCCCCTCCCCACGTCGCGCACTTTCCTGTTAGCAGTGCGTCTTCCTGTCTTTGTGTGTCTCTCTGTGTCTCTCTCTCCCCTCTCTTCTCTCGGCCTCCCCTCTCGAGTCTCCCTTCCCACAACGCCCCTCTCTCAACTCCTTCACATTTCCCCCTCGTGCTGGGTTTGTCCCCTCCAAAATCTGTCTCCGCCGCTGGAACCTCGCAGCGGCTTTTGGCGCGGCCAGCGAACAAAGGCGGTGGTCACCGCATCGTCGCGCGGCGCTTTCAGATGCGCTTCTGCGGCCGTCTGGAACGCTCTTCCTTCCGATGTTAGGAAGCCACTGGAGTTGTGCACTTTTGACTCGTCATCGAGATTGACAAACTAATTTCTTCCGAGCAGCTTGTTGATGTGTTTAGTTTCTTGTTCTTCCCCCGCACCTCCAATTAGCACCGATGGCTACGTACGGTGGTGCGAAAGAAGTTCATCATACATAGGCGTGAGCATGTGATCGCTGTGTATTGTGGCCTTAGCAAACAGGGTGGGTGGGGGGGACCTCCATAACCACCCACAAGGTTGTGAACCTCTGGTTCAAGACTCCCCCTGGTGCAGTGCTCTTCATTGCAAGGCCTGTGGGACGCTGGCGGCCTTTAGTGCGGCCCTCTGACAACTTATAAAACACAACACGTGACAACACCCCCACAATCATCATCATCATCATCGTGCTGATGTCCAACCCCCAATGGTTTCAAACGTGTGGCGGCCCTCGCACTCACGATGTCTTCGACACTGGCAAGAAAGGTACCATGGTGTAGCTGCTCACCCCGAGTTATAAATGCCCTGAGAGTGGCGTTGTCTTTGTGCTGTTCGCCTTTTGGCGTCCTCTGGTCGAGCACTTTGAGACTAGGCTCGAAAGAAAGCTGTCTCTGGTGTGGACCAATCAGTTTCAAAGACAAAGCCTCGTATATTATATCAGAGCATGTTTTTGTTTGTGTTTGCATTTTCACCACAAGTACGTGTGGCTAATGCAGACAGGATTATTTGAAAAATGTGATTCTGTTTGGTGTTTTAACATCTTAACAATAACTGTTTTATTACATGATGATGATGTCTCTGAAAATTAGTGAAGAACACTGACCCGGGGAGATAAGGCTCCCATTCTCTGGGTCTTCCTTCGTGGCTGCCGTGATGACGTCATGTGCCCCCCCCCGTGCCCCCACCCCTCGTGCCCCCCCCCCTCCCACCGCAGATCCTGGACGAGGTGGAGAGGCGGCGGGGGCTTTCGGCCGCCCTCGTCTACCCGTTCATGCGTGCCCTCGTGGAGGCGCCCTTCCCTGCCCCGGGCCGCACCGTCCGCGTGTCGCTCTTCCTGCCGGGCGCCGGACACGAGGTGAGGAGGGAGGCTCTGTCCGCTGCTGGATGGCGAGGGCCTGCGAGCCGCGTGGCGCAGGTGCGGGCGGGTGGCGGTGGGGGGACGTCACGGCGCCCTCCGTTGCGCGTCAGGGGGGGGGGGGTCGTGCGCCGCGAGGTCCGACGTTTCGCTTCACCGCCCCACCCGCGCAAGCGAGCTTTATTGAGAAATCCGTGAACCCGTTGCAGCGCCAAATCCGCGCCAGTATTGTACCGTACTGCGCCGTGCTGGGCAGCGCGGGTCAGTGTAGACAGGGGGGACCAAAGACGCGTGAGCATGGGAGTACGGTACAACCTAGTTGTGCGTCGGGGTCACCCGTCCGATCACTCGTCCAGGCTCGGAAATCCCTGCTTGGCCTTCGAGAACCGCCGACATATCGGACGCATCTCGGGCTGTCTTTCCATAGGGGCCACTGCTGTGATTAGCGAGCACCTATTAAGGTCATTGAGCAATGGGCAGAGACTGGCGGGTGGTGGTCAAGGGGCTTTACGGGCGAGGCGCCGTTAACGTAGCAACCTGTCACGTTTGGCACAGCACACGTTGGACGAGGTGGGGGTGGTTGGCGTTGAGGTCGGTCGCGTTACAAGCGTGGGGGGCAGGAGGTGCCTTGCCCCCCCCCCACTCCCCCGTGGCCAAATCTACGAGTTGGGGCACCCTTCACAACCACCGCAACATATGTTGTTTTCAGCAACAGTGTCACTTATTTGAAACGCGGTTTACCTGTGCGAGACGGTGAGCAGCATAGCGCTGTGATTATCCAAGAGGAGCCGCGCTGCTGTATAATCGCCTCGGTGTGACCGTGCGATACAAATCAAAGACTGGGGGGTGGGGCCCACCTGACCGATAGCCGCACCCTCCCCCTCCCCCCGAGATGATAATATCGCGACTACGCCACTGGTTAGGGCGGCATGGGTCAGTGCCACCTTTGTCTCTCCACTGCTGACCACGCTGCTGATCAAAGGACACAACGCTTGAGTAGTAGGAGGAGGAGGCGGAGGCGCCAATTAACCGGAGCCGGCTACCGCTGGAGACGAGACGGAGGTGCCGCGCCTTGGGCCTCGTGCTCGATGCAGGCCCGAGGGCAACCACAACGCAGGGCGGCAGGGTGCTTATTTAATGTTATTATTTTAAAGTGCTCCTTTCAGTGATTGTTATCAACGCGTTTATCTTCCACTACTTATCTCCAAATAAGACTCGGCCGTCTGGGCGTGGTCAAGATTATCGCCGTGGAAGGATAAGGCGAGCCAAACTTGACACCGCAGAACAACAACAACAGCAGCAGCAGCTCGTTGTGCACAGAAGAACAAAGCTTTTGTCTTTGAGAGGAGACCGACCTGAGCGGATGAATGAAGGGAAATGCGTGCGTCGCGGTGGCCGGCGGTGGTGTCCACTATACAAAGACGACGATAACAACGCGCGGGTTGGAAAGCGTTTCGACGAAGCTGCCATCAGTTATCTTGTTGTGTCCTATAATCAGCAGCGTAGTCAGCAGTGGAAAGACAAAGGTGGCACTGGCCCCTACCACCCTAACCAGTGGCGTAGTCATGATATTATCATCTCGGCGGGGTGGGGGGGGCCGGCAACCGGTCAGGTGGACCCCCCCCAGTCTTTGATTTGTATCGCACGGTCACACCGAGGCGATTTATACAGCAGCGCGGCCCCGCTTGGCTAATCACATCACAGCCCCTGAGACGGATGAAGAGCAGCAGCACTGTGATGGGCACAGCCACGAGTTCCATTCCCGAGTTCCATTCCCGCTCACGACCACCAACATCAGTGACGATTATCTGAAGCGGTCCTGGGCGTCTCCTAGGTAGACTCGGCCTCAAATGAGTACCTTGGTGCGGTGTGCAAACATCGCCAGTAGGGAAACAAAGGCGGCCGGGCGTAGTGTTGGCCACCCACCCTCTTGTGTGCCGTGTCGGCCTTCATAGGTGCTGCTACTACTCGCTTCCCTTATAGCCTTAACAGTTTGTTAACAGTTTGTTAAGGCTATAGGGGAGGGGGATCGTTTACAGAATGTATGAAACAGACGAGCCCCCTCCACCCTCACCTTCACTCCCCCCCCCTTCGCACCCCCCTCCCTCCCCCAAATAGACGATCGAGCTACGGAGGCCCAGCGACTCCCGGCTGGAGCACGTGGACTTCTCCTGCCTCCTGTCGTGCCTGGGCCCGCGGCAGCTGCTGCGCGTCTTCTCGTCGCTGCTCATGGAGCGCAGGGTCATCTTCACCGCCGATAAACTCAGGTGGTGCAGGGGGTTGGGGAGGGGGGAGCATGGGGGTTGGGGGGGGGTCTTGTTTAGCGTTGGGTGGGGGGTATGGAGCAGGGAGGAGGGTATGGGGCTAATTCTAATTGATTGGCAGTCCTAAGCCAGTGGTGCAGGTTGTACAGGCCGATTTGGATGTGTGCGCGTGCGTGTGTGGTGGTGGTGTCTGTGTGTATTGGGAGCGGTGGCACAATGGTTAGCGCACTGTGTGTGCACGTGAGGGTGTGGGGAGTGGTTAGTAGCACGCTGCTCTACGAACCCGGCAGAGACCCGAGTTTGATTCGCGCTCACGGCTACCAACACCAGTGACGATTATCTAAACCGGTGCTGGCCATCCTCTAGGTCGACTCGGACTCAAATCAGTATCTGGTTGGGTGTGTAATTATCGGCGCTAGGGAGAAAGACGTTGGCTGGGCGTGGTGCTGGCCATCCGCCACATCGTGTGCCATGTCGGCCTTCACAGGTGCTCGCTATAACATCACTTGATCCAAGGCAACACGGGGGGGTAGATGTTTGTCTTTGTTGTGGGTTACGGTTGCCACACTATCCAATGTGGACCAAACCCGCACCTAAGGCAGTCGATGTCTCACATCAAACCTGTGCTGTCGGCAGTCATAAAGTTCAGCACAACAGCGATACCCGATACCGATGCAAATTAATTCCTGGCACCGCAACACAGGAATGCCAATTTTTGGGCAGCTGGCTACCCTGGCTCTGTGTGTGTCGAGCGTTGGCCTCAACGTGCACGTAGCCTGGCACAAGCGCCGTGGTGACGTCACAGCCACTTAGTGGCGAATGGGGGTTGTTGTTGTTGTTGGAGCGGTGGTGCAGCGGTCAACATGCTGCGCTGGCAAATTTGGCGACGCATGGTTCAATCCCGACTCGTGGACAAAATCTGAATCTCTCCTGGGCCCTCCGTAAGTTCAACTCGGCCTCGATTAGTTTACACGGAGCGGTCCTTTCCCTGTCGGCGTCGGGGAGACGAAGGCGGCCTCTGGTGTGGGGCTGTCCCCCCCCCCACCACCACGCCATCCTCTCGCTTCACAGGAGACTTCCTGCGCCCTCCACTGCTTGAGAACGGAATAGCGGGGGCAGGTGGTGGCCGGGTCCTGAGAAGAATATCTGCTGCTGGTGCTGCTGCTGCTGCGTTGGCAGCGGTGCACAAGCAAAGCCAACAACAACATCAACACAGTGCGGCCTTGTATTGAGAATTGTACAAAACGCGACGTTTCGGGTAATGACCCTACTTACATTTTTTACTCGGTGTTAAGGCCCACTGAGCTATGCTGCATGGCTCTTTATCAGAAGCGACCTGGCCACAAATGATAGCTCAACGGAGTGGCTCGTCATTTCTCAGGACTTGTGGGTCTTCTGGATTCATGGGCCTCAGGTTCTTCAATGCCTTCGAATCTCAGTCCACAGGTTCTCGAAAGAGTTTCATGATTCAGGGTCTCAAGAATCTCAGAGATGAAACAACTCAACTATTTTTTTTATTTTACCAGGTCAGGCCCACTGAGCTGTATAGCTCTTTATCCGAAGCGACCTGGCCACAAATGATAGTTTAGCGAGGTGGCTTATCATGTGGAAATTTATAGCAGCCAAATACTCTAAAGTGCACGTTAATTCTAAAAGTGTAGGTAAAAACCGGAGGACCCGGAGAAAAATCCACGCCACCACCGGGAGAACATACAAACTCCAAATATCCAGGCGTCAGGGTCGAGATCGAACGCACGACGTCCTGTATACCCGGCGAGGTAGTTAACATCTCGTCACCGCGGTGCCCTTCATAGCGTGTGACCAGCAGCAGGCTTTGTGTCTGCTTCATATCAGCTTTAGTGACACACTCGACAGAAGGCGCGTGATGTGGTTCACAGATGATGAGGATAGCGTGATGTGCAGTGGTCGTTTAGCAGGAGACGTGAAGTGATGTGAAAATTAAGACCGAGGCCGCTCTATGAGTGGACCATTTGTGGAACTGTCTCGATGGAAGTGAGACACATGGCGTGAGTGTGTGTCCAGGGGAGCAGTCGTGTAGAGATTACCGCGCTGCGCTCACGTGCAACACGAGTGACGATTATCTGAACCGGTACTGGGCCTTCCCTAGGTCGACTCGGCCTCAAATGAGTACCTAGTGCAGTGTGTAAACATTGCCACTCGAGAGACAAAGGCGGCCGGGTGTGGTGCTGGGCACCCACCCCCTCGCGTGCCGTCCCAGCCTTCATAGATGCTCGCTAACAGCACTTGCCCCTACAGTCTGCTAAGGCTACACGGGGGATATTTGTCTCCGTGTCCAGGGTGGGGGTTGGGGGTGGGAGCCACAGTGGGAATGTTAGCAGATGTCCAGGATGAGACCAGCATCGCGAGAAAAACATTCCTCAACTTACACAAATTCCTGAATTTCCACAAGTGCTTACACGTGTGCGTCCATATGCAAGCGTGCACGTGCGTGTGTGTGTGGGCGTGTTTGCGTGTGTGTGTGTGCGTGTTTGTGTGTGGGGAGCGATAGTGTAGCGGTTAGCGCGCTGCGCTATAAACCTGGCGACCCGGGTTCGATTCCCGCTCACGGCCAACACCAGTGACGATTATCTGAACCGGTCCCGGGCCTCCCCTAGGTCGACTCAGCCTCAAATGAGTACCTGGTGCGGTGTGTAAACATCGCCACTAGGGAGCTAAAGGCGGTCGGGCGTGGTGTTGGCCACCCACCCCCTCGTGTACCGTTCCGGCCTTCATAGGTGCTCGCTAACAGCACTTACCCCTACAGTCTGTTAAGGCTATACGGGGGATCTTTGTCTTTGTGTGTGCGTGTGTGTGTGTGCGTGTGTGTGCGTGTGTGTGCGTGTGTGTGCGTGTGTGTGCGTGTGTGTGCGTGTGTGTGCGTGTGTGCGTGTGTGTGCGTGTGTGCGTGTGTGTGCGTGTGTGTGCGTGTGTGCGTGTGTGTGCGTGTGTGCGTGTGTGTGAGGAGCAATGGCGAAGCGGTTAGCGCGCTGCGCTACGATCCCAGCGGCCCAGGTTCGATTTCCCCCTCATGGCCACCAACACCAGCGACAATTATCTGAACCGGTCACGGGCCTCTCCTAGGTCGACTCAGCCACAAATTAATACCTTGGTGTGGCGTGGTCGTGGCCACCCACCACCTCGTGTGCCGTGCCGGCCTTCATAGGTGCTGCTACTCGCTAACAGAACTTGCCCCGACAGGCTGTTAAGGCTACACGGGGGATCTTTGTCTTTTGTCGCACCACGCTCCCGTGTGCCATTCCGACCTTCGTAGCCTCTCCCATGCAGCACTTGACCCGACCGTTCTCCGTGGGGCTGAAGGGGAGAACGTTGTCCTTGTGTGTGTGCGCGTGTGTGTGTGTGTGCGCGCGTGTGTGTGTGTGTGGTGGGCTTTGTTAAGTACGAGCCATTCAGTGCTGGCCAGTGACCCCCAGGAGTTTGGGTCTAATCATTACCGGCCTGGGAAACAGAGAGAGAGCGCGGCCGACCCTGACCTCTCTGGGTGCTGCACATCGGAGAGAGCGGAGAGGGGGCGGTTCAAATCCCAACGGCTTCCGCGAATGATGGGAAGTCATCGCATCGCAGCACGGGGGACGAGTCCCCATCTGTACTTTGCGGCAGCGACGCGCCCTAGCGGTGTATCGTTCGCCGCTCGCCGCTGACGTGTTGGCGCTTCGAATCCAGTGGCCGCTCTGGTTAATGCCGCGGGTGTAACGAGCACAGCAATACTGAATCAAGGCTGCCCCGTGGTCGGGATGTAGCGTTAGGGCTAGAGGTGATGCATGCTGGAGATGACACGTGTGTGGGCCATTGCGTTGTCTAATGGGGCAAGGAAAGACATGGGGGCAATGGTTGTGTCTCATGGGGCAAGAGGACACGTGTGGGGCATTGCTGTGCCTGGTGGGCATGGCCGTGCATGCATAGCCACCGGCTATGTTGTTGAACTTCTTTCGCACCATACGCAGCCAACCGTGCTAATGCGTGGGCATTGGCTATCATCACGAGGCGATGTGATTGTGTTATCCCAGTGCATGCATTGAAACCCCCCCCCGCCACCCCCACCCCACGCCCGCCCCCCACACGCACCTCAGCAGAGGGGACATGGATATTTATAGGGTGAGTTGTAAAGGTTCGTGCCGTTTCCTCCGCGCCGTCCGTCCGCGTGTGCGGGGTTACTCCTGCAGGATGTGCTCGCGCGCTCGGAGGTGGTTGGGGGGTGGGGAGGAGGAAGGGTGGGGAGGGGGGGAGGGGGGAGGGGGGGCCGTCGGGGGCTGTCAGCGGTAGCGAAGCGTCTCGGGGGGGGGCGGTGCCGTCCCGACTCGCGCGACAATCGAAGGCGTGCACCTAGCCTGGCGCGAGCGCCCTGGTGACGTCCGCCGCCACTTGGTGGCGAGCGACGGGGTTCGAATCAGCGCTCATCGCCCGTTTACAGCCCTGCAGAGCCAGTGGTGGAAATTCCACATTCCTGCGGCAGGGGCAAGTATAACCTGAGGATATCCACTGTTGACTTCCGACTATACAAAGTAGTACTCGTTTTATCGACCCCGGAGGCAGGGATTATGGGCTAAGACACCGCCCCCCTCCCCCCCCACCACCAAACTGAAGTTGAACTCGCAAATTCGTGATTGCGAGCAGCTTCCCCTACCGCTGAGCACCACCACGTGGCCGTGTGAGCCCGTCGCAAATCAACCCCACGCATCTTCCGAAAGAGTCCGTCCGGCAACGTTTGGTTTGAGTGTATAATTTAGGGGTGTGATGATGGTCCTCAGTTTCCTTCCACGTGTATATCAACACTCGTTCATTGGCCAGTAACAACTTAATAAATAGAGGACGGCAGAACTTGGGGAGGAGGGGGGGACATTCTGTGCCGCTTCATTGTCCGGCGGCTCCTTTCCCCACTCAACAACAACTACCACAACAACTACCACAACAACTACCACAACAAGTACCACAATAACTTCCACAACAACTACCACAACAACTACCACAACAAGTACCACAATAACTTCCATAACAACTACCACAACAACTACCACAACAACTACCACAACAAGTACCACAACAACTACCACAACAACTACCACAACAACAAGTACCACAACAACTACCACAACAACAAGTACCACAACAAGTACCACAACAAGTACCACAACAAGTACCACAACAAGTACCACAACAACTACCACAACAACTACCACAACAAGTACCACAACAACAACCACAACAACAACCACAACAACAAGTACCACAACAACTACCACAACAACTACCACAACAACTACCACAACAACAACTACCACAACGGTGGTGGTGAAGCAGGAGTACAATCGGCTCGTTTAATTCACACGCCACTTGTGAATTGGCTGCGTCGGGTGGAGGGAGGGTTTTATGTCTCAACTTTTTTCACACCACGACCTAAACCCAAAAAACCCACATTATGTGAATAACTATTCTTTGTTTATGGACCCATTGCATATCCGACGGTCGCAAGCGAGTGAACACTCGGTGGGACGCGCCCTCTGGGCTTGTGAGTCCCCCGCTAGGGTGTGTGCTCACGTTGTGAATACAAAAAAAATGTTTTATTGGACAAGTGCCCCCGAGGGCAGGTTGCTGACGGGGCAAGAGACAGGGGAGGAGGAGGAGGTTCAGCTCTGTCCTCCTCGCGTCGAGACGACGACGGCGAACCGTCGGGAGGGGAAGATGAGCGTAAGAGGCGGGGGGTGGCGAGGGTGCAATGTACCCACACACAAAACTACCAAATAGAACGGCGGACACGTGCCGAGCGAGCTTGTCGTCAACGTACATCCCCTCGGCAGCGGCCACCTCATGCCTATCCATGGAGGTGGTGAACAATTATTCTTCAAATCTGAATTGTGACCCTACCCTCTTGACGCCTTGGCCGTGCCCCCCCCCCCCCCCAGCACCCTGTCGAAGTGCGGGCACGCGGCGGCGGCGCTGCTCTACCCGTTCGCGTGGCAGCACACCTACGTGCCCGTGCTGCCCGCCTCCATGCTGGACATCGCCTGCTCACCCACGCCCTTCCTCATGGGCGTCCTCTCCTCCACGCTGCCCAAACTCCAGGAGCTGCCGCTCGAGGAGGTGACGATGGGGAGGGAGGGGAGTGGAGGGAGGGCAGTGGAGGGAGGGGAGTGGAGGGAGGGGAGTGGAGGGGAGTGGAGAGAGTGGAGGGGAGTGGAGGAAGGGGAGTGGAGGGAGGGGAGTGGAGGGAGGGGAGTGGAGGGAGTGGAGGGGAGTGGAGGGAGTGGAGGGGAGTGGAGGAAGGGGAGTGGAGGGAGGGGAGTGGAGGGAGGGGAGGGAGTGGAAGGAGTGGAGTGGAAGGAGTGGAGTGGAGGGAGGGAGGGGAGTGGAGGGAGTTGGAGGGCGGAAGTGGAGGGAGGGGAGTGGAGGGAGTGCAGGGAGTGAGTGCAGGGAGGGGAGGGAGTGGAGGCAGGGAGTGCAGGGAGTGGAGGGAGCGAGTGCAGGGAGGGGAGGGAGTGGAGGCAGGGAGTGGAGGGAGGGCCTCGTCAAGTCCCACAGGTCGTTCCACGGGGCACCGCGGTGGCTATGAGATGTTAACTACCTCGCTTGGTATGCAGGAGGTCGTGGGTTCGATCCCAACCCTGACGCCTGTTGTATATTTGGAGTTTGAGTGTCTCCATCCCCGTGGTTGCTTGGATTTTTTGGCTGCTATAAATTTCCACACGATGATAAGCCACTTCGTAGAGCTATAATTTGTGCCCAGTTATGTATTAAAATGAGATTTCTAGCTCGATGGGCCTTACATGGCAAAAGAAGTTGATAGTGTGTCGTTCGCAGGAGGGTCCTGCCAACTTAGATCTGACAGTGGCCCGAGCCATGGTTGTTTATTATATTTTTCCGGTTGGGAGTAATTTGCGAGTAATCTTTGCAGCATTGGGATGTTTACATTGCGTGGTTTTTATCAACGTCTGCGGTGGTAATTTTTCAACTTTGGACCATGACGCAGGCACACAATGACCCCACGGGGACCTTTAACTTTGGTAAAACGCACCCTGCATAGTGGCAATATTATTGCGGTTATTCCACCTGCAGTACTAACGAGGGCGGCCGCTGGATGCGAACCTCTTAAACGAGTGGCCGCTATGTCACGATCGCTTTGCACGGTGATCCACCCAACCCTCGCTGCTGCCTCAGCACTGGTGGACTACAGGCAGCCACGTGCAGCAGCAGCAGCAGCGTAGCCAACACCACCATCTGGCTCACCACAGTCTGTGCCGCGTGTCGCGTACAGGTGCTCGTGGTGGACCTGTGCAATAACCGCTTCATCAGACAGGTGAGTAACCGCGCACTCACACAAAGATCTCCCGTATAACCTTGACAGAAGACTGTTGGGGTAAGTGCTGTTAGCGAACACCTATGAAGGCCGACACAGCACACGAGGCGGTGGGTGGCCAGCACCACGCGTGGGTTTGAATCCCGCTCATGGTCCAAACCAGTGACGATTATCTGAACTGGGTCTGGAACCCCGACTTGAACCAAGCATCATGCTTCTGAAGGACGTCGTGTGCGTGTCACTATGAACCCGGTGACCCGAGTTACATTCACAACCACGGTCAATAACAGCGCTGAATATCTGAATCGGTCACTGGGGAGACAAAGGTGGCCGGGCGTGGTGCTGGCCACCCACCCCCTCGTGTGCCACGGCAGCCTTCATTGGTGCTACTCGCTAACAGCACTTGCCCCAACAGTCTGTGAAGACTATACGGGATACATTTATCTTTGTCTGGGAAAGGGGGTGGGGGGTGTCGGCAGGAAGCTCTGTCCCAGACCAGCTACACAAACACTCGTTACCACCACCACCACAGCAGCAGCAGCTGCCCCACATCCACCGTCTCCACAGGGCCACTTTTATATCGTTTAACAAAATACATAAGGTGACGTCACACCTCCGTCCCATATCTGTCTCTGTGCATTAAATAAATATACATTTATATCAATATATAAGTTCTATTTTTGTTACGCATTTATTTACACATCCCCGTCAATCTGCCGCACGGCCTTCTGGGGGTGCATCTTATGAGCAGCCTTTTTTTTTCTTTCATGCGAGCACAACTTGGGACCAGTTTCAACACTCAGTGCCTCATCAGTAGAGGTCATACTGTCTTGAGCCAATGCTGATGAACTGCCAGATGTTTGCAGGCAGAGAACCCTCTGTCTTAGAGATGTGGGTGGCAGTTCAACGCAAAACTATGCAATACGCGACACAATAAATATAAGCAGATGCAACCGCTGCTTAGGCATCGTTATTATGTCATTTGGATTCGTGTGCAGCGTTCACCGAAATGAAACATCGCTTGTAGACGCAACGGTAGAAACAGCGACAAATCAACCCGTCTCGTTTCATTTTCAGTACATAGACAGCGTTTGTAATTTTCGTTTTGTCGTCGAGTGATTGACAGAGTACGGCGAAACGCCTGCACGACTGCGGGCAGCGTGGTGGTGCAGTGGTGACACTCGCGGCTATCCGTACGGAGTTTCGCACGTTTCTCCCCCTGCACTCCGTTGGCCTTTTTCCGGTGACTTCCCGCAGGCCGGGCCAGCAAATGGCCGAACCATTCCCACAACAGGGACTGCCAGCCGTGAAAACGTCAACAACACGGACAGCGGAATTATTATGGATTGTTATTGTTGTTTGCCCAGGAAAGCCTCGCCGAGTCTCCAGACTCTTGTTCAGGAGGGTCTTGCCAATCTTCCGCGGTAGGCGGGGGAGGGGTGACCGTTGCCACGCGGTTCCACAATTAAGGAATTGGCGGCGTGAAGTTCCAAATGTGGAGAGTGACGTGGGCCCGCGGAAGAAGTTCAACATACGTAGGCGCGTATGTTGAACGCACGTACGAACATACGTAGGAGCGCACGTACGGCATCCACCGAAACGCTTGGGCCGTCACCCTCCCCGCTCGAGACCAAACCCACACACACATTTCTCAGGCCGCACTCGGCCTCTTGTCAAAACTGTGCAGTGCGCTACAGCGAAGTCACAAAGCTGTGATACCGCGACCACATCCGGTAAAACAAATCAATAAACCGCTTCCACCCGAAGGCAGACGTCGATTATTCCCGACCTGTCCTGCTCGCAGCCGATCGGGTGACGATCCTCATACACCCGGCAGTATTAACCAGGGCGGCTCACCGGTTCAGACCCGCGAACCTCTGCAACGAAGGGGCGATCGTGCTGCGTCTGGGCTGCGCGTGCGAGTCGTCATCCATCTCCGCGCTGCCCTTCTCCCGACGCGGCTGTCGCTTTCACGGTGCCGGCGTCCCGTGGGCTTTTACGGGCGGCCCTGGTCGATGGAATTTCCAGTAAAACGGCGGCGATTTACGCACGGGGAAGCCTCGTGCATTGAGTGGGCGAGGACTAGCGTGAGTCAGCGCGAGTGTGTGTAGTGTGTGTGGTGAAGTGCGTGGGGAGCGGTGGTGTAGCGGTCAGCGCGCTGCGCTACGAACCTGGCGACCCGAGTTCGATTCCCGCTCACGGTCAACACGAGTGACGATTATCTGAACCGGTCCTGGGCCTCCTCTAGGTCGACTCAGCCTCAAATTGGAACCTGGTGCGGTGTATAAACGTCGCCACTGGGGAGATAAAGGCAGTTAGACGTGGTGCTGGTCACCCACGCCCTCATATGCCCTCGCTAACAGCACTTGCCCCTACAGTCTGTTAAGGCTATACGTGTGTGTGTACGTGTGTGTGTGTGTGTGTACGAGGAGCGGCAGTGCAACGGTTAGCGCGCTGCACTACAAACCCGGCGACCCGAGTTCAATTCCCGCTCATAGCCAACACCTGTGATGATTATCTGAACCGGTCCTGGGCCACACCACCCTCTCATCTACCGTGCCGGGCGGGATCTTTACCAGGGTGTGCGTTTGCGTGTTCACGTGTTTGTGCGTGTTCACGCATTCGTTCGTGCGTGCGCGCGATTCCAAGACATCTGATCTCTTCTCCCACGCGTCTGATCAATAGCAGTACTCGTGACCACAAAATGTGAATGGATTTTTCTGGTCAGAGAGGCCGGTCACGATGGCCTTAAAGAAACGCGTGTGGGAGACTGTGTGCGTGTCTTTGTATGTGTGTACGTGTGTGTGGAGCGGTAGTGTAGCGGGTTATCACGCTGCGCTGCGAACCCGGCCACCCGAGTTCAATTCTCGCTCACGGCCAACACCAATGACGATAATCTGAACCGGTCCTGGGTGTCCCCTAGGTCGACTCAGCCTCAAATGAGTACCTGGTGCGATGTATAAACATGGTTACTGGGGAGACAAAGGCAGTTGGGCGTGGTGCTGCCCACCCACCCCCTCGTGTGCCAACCCAGTCTTCATAGGTGCTCGCTAATAGCCCTTTCCCCAACCGTCTGATCGGGCTATATGGGGGGTCTTTGTCTTTGTTAGATATATATGTGCGTGCCTTAGTCATCTCAGTCAACTCATAACACCTGGGTCTGTTCCGTGACCTTCTATCAGCAATCCTTCAGCACTTCACGTGATAGCCTCAAGGCGCACTTAGCCTGGCACAGGTGCTGCGGTGATTTCACTACCACTTAGTATCCAATTATTCATGTGTGTGTGTGTGCGCCGACGTTGTTTGTGCGCTGCACTACAAACAATTCCCAGCAATGGCTGTTGCCTCCCTTTGGGTCGACTCAGCCTTAAATTAATACCTGGTGCGGTAAACATCAACCAGGGGGGGGGGAGACAAAGGCGGCCGGGCGTGCTGCTGGCAACACCACGCCCTCATACGTGTGCCGTGGCGGCCTTCATAGGTTACTGCTGCTCGCTTAACAGCACTTGCTCCGAGAGGCTGTGAAGCTATAACGGGGCGGGGGGGATCATTTGTCTTTGCCTGTGTGGCGGTGCCAGCTGGACGATGACGACGGCGTCATACCGCGCAAGCTGCACGCCGCGCTTGAGCAGGTGCTGGAGCAGCGCAACGTCATCGCCAGCAGCACCGTGGACAGCGACGACGAGACGGACGACGGAGACACGGGTAACCCGCGCACCTCCCCCCAATAACAACACCCGCCATTGGCCACTGAGATGCGGCCAGGTGCGCTTGGAGGCCACGTGGAGTGTCAAAGGCTCGCTGGCAGGAGGTCACGGGACGGACGCAGCAGGTGCCGTGGTTGGCTGACTGAGATGACCGGCGGACGCACCAGCTGTGTACCCCCCTACTGTGCCAACTTTGTGTATTTTATCTGCCGGGCGCTCCGCCGGTTGTTCCGAGTGTTTTGTAGTAAAGTAAAACAAATCAAACGACGCGGTAACGACGAGGCAACTCTAAAACCGGCTAACGGCGCCCGCGGGGCCTTTCCCCACTCCCCTGCCCCACCCCCCCCTTCCCCCCCCACTGCGCATGGCGTCAGGCGAGGCCAACGCGGCGCTCAATGCGCTGGTGTCGGAGGCGTTTGTGCGCTTCTTCGCCGAGACGGTGGGCCATTTCGCGCTGCACGTGCGCGCCGACGAGCGGGGCACGCGCCGCCTGCAAGCCGACGCCTTCCGCAAGGCGGTCGCCTCCAAGAGCGTCCGCCGCTTCCTCGAGGTCTTCATGCAGACGCAGATGTTCGCCGGCTTCGTGCAGGACCGTGAGCTGCGGCGCTGCCACCACGCCAGAGGTGAACTAAAACTCCCGCCGACCGACTCTCTTACTTCAAATTCTTGTTTTTTAATTGCGCCGTGCGAGGCCCTCCAGCCCCGCCTACCGAGCCACGCAGCTGTTTGTCGTGACGAAAGCGGCTTGTCGCCGTCGTCGTCGCGTGAGGATCGGCAGCAGCAGCAGTAGCAGCAGCCGAATACTCGAAACGGTGGGCCAGGACGCGGGGGGAGGGCAACGCGGTTGGGGGGGGCGGTGGGGCGGGCGACACGGGGGGTGGGGGACGTTGTCGCGCCGTGCGGCTCGCCCCAGCGCCGTGACGTGCCGCCGTTTGCCGAGCTCGAGCGCCGCGTCGCCGTTTACGCCGTGGCGGTCTGTCGCGCTCCGAGCGACACTGCATCGCCCCGTGTCAAACACGAGTCCCGCCGGCTACCTCCACGCGCGTTCACCAATGGCCGTGTCGGAGGGGACGCCGCTGGGATCCCGGCTGCACCGCCGGGATCCCGGCTGCACTGAGCACGGCGAGTGGCTGGTCACAGCTCCGTCACCGGTGACTTGTACAACAAACCCAGAGACTCGCGCAGAGACCCCTGGACTTCGTATAAAGATCCATTCCAGACTCACGTAAACATACGATTGGACCGACGGCCCAGGCCTGGTCTGTCACTGCACCAAAAGGAAGAACGCACGACGACAATCGCGGTGTTTGTGGGCGGCTTGCCACGGCTGTTCCTCGACACGAGGTGGTTCACTGCTCACTGATGATGACGACGACGACGACGATGATGATGATGCTGATATTAATCGTGGTGTTTGTGGGCGACTTGTCACGGCTGTTCCTCGACACGAGGTGGTTCACTGCTCACTGATGATGATGACGACGACGATGATGATGACGATGATGATGATATTAATCGCGGTGTTTGTGGGCGACCCTCCAGGGCTGTTCGAGCTGCGGGCGTCACAGTTCCTTGACGAAGTTCCCAACGTGGAGCAGAGCGGCGTGAATCGCTTCCTCAAGGAGCTCGGTGAGCAGAGACGCCGCCCCTGCTGCTGCTGGTTGTGTTTGTCGCCCTTCCCCCCGCACCTCCGATTGGCATGGTTGGCTACGTACGGTGCGAAAGAAGTTCAACGTACACGCGCGAATACACACTACATTACAATACACTACACTGCTATACAGTAACGCTATACACTACGCTACTACGCACGTTCAACCTCGCGCTGGTGCCGGCGCGGACACAGCCACCGGCCCCGAGCCGTAGCGCTCAGGATTGGCGGCAGCGGCAGCGCAACCCAGCGTGCAGGGTGGAGCCTTGCCTCAGCGGTGCAGGGTGGAGCCTTGCCTCAGCGGTGCAGGGTGGAGCCTTGCCTCAGCGGTGCAGGGTGGAGCCTTGCCTCAGCGGTGCAGGGTGGAGCCTTGCCTCAGCGGTGCAGGGTGGAGCCTTGCCTCACGGTGCAGGGTGGAGCCTTGCCTCAGCGGTGCAGGGTGGAGCCTTGCCTCACGGTGCAGGGTGGAGCCTTGCCTCAGCGGTGCAGGGTGGAGCCTTGCCTCAGCCATGCAGGGTGGAGCCTTGCCTCACGGTGCAGGGTGGAGCCTTGCCTCACGGTGCAGGGTGGAGCCTTGCCTCAGCGGTGCAGGGTGGAGCCTTGCCTCAGCCATGCAGGGTGGAGCCTTGCCTCACGGTGCAGGGTGGAGCCTTGCCTCACGGTGCAGGGTGGAGCCACCCCCTGGCGCAGAGCGTAGATACCGCACAAAGCCGACGGGCAGATCGTCACGAATGTCAGAAAGCTAAGCAGAGTTAAGCCCGAATGATGGGACGGGACTGCCCGTGGACAACCCGGTAATGTGTGCCAGGGGTGTTGTGGGCCGGGAGACGCGGGAGTGAGGGATGTGAATTGTTGATCTGTGCGTGCGTGTCTGTGAATGAACGTTATTCCTTACACTCGGGCCATTTGCACGCCATTTGTCTCTCTTCCTTTGTGGCACTTGAGCCGAGAAGTCTGTCATTTAAAAAAGAAAAAATTCGTAGAATCTCTTTTTTCACAAACATAATGATTATCTTACATAATAGAGTTTTTTGGGGGTTTTTAAACTATTATATGTCAAGCAATTTATGGACTCGAAACCTCTACGAATTATATTACAGATGGGATTAAGAGCGCGGGAAGGCTTGGCTTGTATAACATGTGGCGAATGAGACGAGGCGTCTACGCGCAATGGATAGGAAGACTGGGATTGGACTCGAACCAATACGATCATTCAGCTGTCGTTAAACCTACAGCTCCAGCCCCGAGTGAACCCACTGCTGGATTCAGGCCTCCCCCACACCATGTCGCTCGTGGTCATACTTCACCACGCTGGTCAACCTGAATAGGGCAGGATCGGGGGAATAGGGGAGGAGCCGGTCCGGTTCAGATATCCCTCACCGCTGACGTTAGCCCAGGCAGGGAGTCGAACCTGGATCGCTGGGTTCATAGATGCAGCGCGATAGCCGATGCTGCTCCACTGCCCCTAAACCTCTCGGTGGGTGTTGGCTCGTGTGTTGCAGGGAGCCGCATGAAGTTCCTTTCCAAGAAGCAGTAGTCTCCTTCAGGACCAGCCGGCGCCAGGATGGGAGCAGCGTGGAGACGCAGGTCTCTACCGGCGGCAGCCTGTCGCAGCAGCTACAGCTGCACAAACTGCACCAGCTGCACCAGCAGCACCAGCAGCACCAGCAGCAGAAGCACAGCAGCACCAGCTGTACGAGCAGCACCAGCTGCACCACCTGCAGTAGCAGCAGCAGAAGCACCAGCTGCACCAGCAGCAACAGCAGCAGTCGCAGCAGAAGCACAGCAGCACCAGCTGCACCAGCTGTACTAGCAGCAGAAGCACAGCAGCACCAGCTGCACCACCTGCAGTAGCAGCAGGAGCACCAGCTGCACCAGCAGCAACAGCTGCAGTAGCAGCAGAAGCACAGCAACACCAGCAGCACCAGCAGCAGCGGCAGCACAGGAGCACCGGCTGGGCACCTTCCGCCAGGAGCTACCGGTATCGACCAATCAGATCACGCCTGCCGCTAAATTTCCTCACCGAGTGGTAAATGAACGCCGATGTCCACGACGCCACCTGGGGTGCAAGCGGCGTCACGTGGGGTGAAAGCGGCGCCACGTGGGGTGCAAGCGGCGTCACCTGCGGTGCAAGCGGCGTCACCTGCGGTGCAAGCGGCGTCACCTGGGGTGCAAGCGGCGCCACGTGGGGTGCAAGCGGCGTCACCTGCGGTGCAAGCGGCGCCACCTGCGGTGCAAGCGGCGCCACCTGGGGTGCAAGCGGCGTCACCTGGGGTGCAAGCGGCGCCACTCGCGGTCGTGCGGCGGCTGCCGAATGCGGCCTGGGAGGAGAACGCACGGCGAGAGAGAGAGAGGTCGGCGCATTCGTTTGCGGCGAAGATTTTGCACGCGGATTCGTCCGCACTTGGGTTTTCGCGGTGGACGCAACAACGGCGGACGCGAGACGTTCGACGTTCCGTGGCGAGATGCTGCGGTGCCGGTGGTGGTGCGGGTGTCGCGGCGAGCCTACGTCCTGCGGCGATTCCCGCACGGCACAGAACCACGGCGCGCGGTTCCTCGGCCGCGTACATGGAAGGCGCAGCCCGAAAACGAGCAGCTCTTATCATGTAGCGACGTCACACCCAGGGTGTCACACCCAGGGTGTCACACCTATCCAGGGTGTCACACCTATCCAGGGTGTCACACCTATCCAGGGTGTCACACCTATCCAGGGTGTCACATCCAGGGGGTCACACCCAGGGTGTCACACCCAGGGTGTCACACCCAGGGTGTCACACCTATCCAGGGTGTCACACCTATCCAGGGTGTCACACCTATCCAGGGTGTCACACCTATCCAGGGTGTCACACCCAGGGTGTCACACCCAGGGTGTCACATCCAGGGGGTCACACCCAGGGTGTCACACCCAGGGTGTCACACCCAGGGTGTCACACCTATCCAGGGTGTCACACCTATCCAGGGTGTCACACCTATCCAGGGTGTCACACCTATCCAGGGTGTCACACCTATCCAGTGTGTCACACCTATCCAGTGTGTCACACCCAGGGTGTCACACCCAGGGTGTCACACCCAGTGTGTCACACCCAGGGTGTCACACCCAGTGTGTCACACCCAGGGTGTCACACCCAGTGTGTCACACCCAGTGTGTCACACCCAGTGTGTCACACCCTGGGTGTCACACCCAGGGTGTCACACCCAGGGTGTCCTATCCAGGGTGTCACACCCAGGGTGTCACACCCAGGGTGTGACGTCCCGTGCTTTTGTTCAACGCGAGCGGGAAGATTCATTAATGAGGGGGGATTGGGTGGGGGGGTGACAACAAAGACTTTAAAGTTGAGGGCCGGTGCTGTCGAGTGACTTCGCAGCGCAGCAAATGGATCAGCTCCGCCCTGCAGGGCCCAAGTGGGAGCAACGACGACGACGATGATGATGATGATGAAGAGCAGTTGGAGTTTGAGGAGGAGTTGTAGGGGGAGGGAGGAGGGGGAGGGAGGGAGGGAGGGAAGGAGGGGGAGAGGTTCGGTCAAGCAGCAGTTGTATGACAGTGATCGTGGCCACGTCTGGGACGGGGCGATCACGCCAAACATTGCGCGGATCGACCGCCGACGGCCGTGAGAGGTGTGGAGGGTCTGCGGCTCGTGTCGGTGTCTCGCTACGCCGCGTGCGCCGTACGCCGGACTCGCTGCGGTTACCGCCACGCACGCGACGCCCCCGCTCACCGTGATGATGTCGAGAGCTTCGCAGTCGACCCGGGAAACGCGCAGCTCAGTTACTGCCTGGAACGGAAAAGGCGCAGCCACGCAACCGCTTGCTTCGCGGCACCGCCGGATGAAAATCCCCGACTCGAGGAGAGCTCTCTCTCTCTCACTCTCTGGAGGTGGTTTAGTTTTTGTTGTTGTATCTTACTCCTCTAGGCTGGCCCAGACGCCTTGACAAGAGGATGACGTGGCCCACACTTTACTCCCACCGCACGTGACGGTGCCGCGTGAGCTCGATTTGTGCCGTAGCCGTTTGCAATCGCAGGGTGGACACAGGCAGTGAGATCGAGGGGACCGGCGCACCGATCTTTCAACCACCGCGCCGGGACAACAAATGGAGCCCGGCGACATTCCGGGTGCGGCACCAAAAGCAGATCGTGACCCCCACTCCCCTCGCGACAACCGCGAGAAGACCCACGAGGATTTCGAGGGCTGCTGCTTTTTCCTGGGCAAGTAAAGCGACACCACGAGACACCTCCCTGCGCTGTGCCCTCGAGGAGACCATCACCTCGGGACCACGGCGACAAGGACCACGGCAACGGGAACCAAGGAGACGGGAACCATGGCGAGCCTTACTGGGCGCTCGTGGTGTTCAATGCAAAACGCGAAGGGGCAGGGGCACGCGAACAAAGAGACAATTTTCAACTCTTATTTTCGAGAGTCTGGCGGCAGACCGCAGCAGATTCGGGGAGCGATCGCCTCTGTCCCTGATCCTGATGAGGTACTCGCGACCGGGAGATCGTTGCGTTCTCTCGGCTGCGTCTCGCTCTCTCTCACTCTCTCTCGGCTCTCCGTCTCTCCCTCTCGGCTCTGGCTCTGTCTCGCGCCATCACTTGCCGCCCGCGTCTCAGACACCCGCGGCAACCGCTGCCGGGGAGGTGCTGTCGCTGCGAGGAGGAGCGCCGCACGGACCGCGAGCTCCGTTCCAGGATCCGTTCCGGCCTCGGGAGGGTGGCGATGCCTCGCGGCGTCCGGGATGCCCGTTGAGTGATGGCCGTGTTTGTCTCTCCTCCTCTGCCATGCTCGATCGCGTCTGTAAATGGCTTCTCGTTTCGTCGACGCTCTCCTGTAAATGCGTTCCCCGTGCTGGCGTTTGTCCTGCAGCTTCATAAGCAAAACAAATTGTTCCGGTGCCTTACAATATATGTATTATTATTCACCCCTCCACCCCGTTTTTATACAAGTGTAACAAATCTAACGGCTTTAAGAAAAACAGTGTAAAATAAATCGAAAGGATAGATTCGAACGAGAGTGGAGGAGGGCGTCTGTGTTTCCGAACACTAAAGTGACCGATCCTGCTCCATGAGCAGTGGGGGCGGGATTTGTCTATCGAACAACCGCTGGGTTGACTGCCCGCAACAAAGCTGCTCTCATTTTATCGGCCCCAGAAGAATGATGGACTCCGTCAGCTCCCAACCCAAGGATATGAACACCGCAGGCGTGCTGCTCACGCACAGCAAGAGGACGCCACTCCCATCATGCATTGCACGCACGTCATCTGCCTCCTAATTGGCAAGGCGGTGGTTGGCAGCGTTACCTCGACGTTCACATGGTGTGGTTGGCAACATTGACTCCACGTGCGTGTGGACATGGAGAGCGTTAAGCCAATCGGTGGGTGTTGGGGGTGGGTGTTGGGGGTGAGTGTTGGGGGGTGGGTGTTGGGGGGTGGGTGTTGGGGGGTGGGTGTTGGGGGGTGGGTGTTGGGGGTGGGTGTTGGGGGTGGACGCAGCGTTCGAGTCGATCGTCACCTCCACCCTGCACGCTGCACTATGATCTACAACAAAGTAGCGGCGCTGGAGTTGACTTTAATCCTCCCCATGGAGGTGGACGACTGCGCTAATGCGTGCGTGTGTGTGTGCGTGCGTGTGTGTGTGTGCGTGCGTGTGTGTGCGTGCGTGTGTGTCCGTGCGTGTCTGTGCGTGTGTGTGTGTGCGCCGGGAGTTGTGAGACGCTCTCCCACCACGACTGCCCGTATTTGAGCATTCTCGAGCCCGAGATAAAACTGGCAAACACCGCCCGTGTCAACGCGCGTACGCAGCCGCCCACTCGCACCACGAGACTCCAACGTCGAGGCTCTTCTCGTTAATTGTAATTAAATTTAATTATCATAGAAATGTAATCATCATCACTGTCGTCAACACAGACAAAGATCCCCCCCCGTATAGCCTTACAGACTGTTAGGGCAAGTGTTTGTTTGCGAGTGCCTGTTAATGCTGACACGGCATCACGCCCGGCCGCCTTTGTCTCCCTAGCGCTGATGTTAATACACCAGAGCAGGTACTCATTTAAGGCTTAAGTCGACCTTGGGGAGGCGCAGGAATTAAGATATCACTCGCCTCTGATGTTTGCCGTGGTCGAGAATCACACCAAATCTGTCAGGATCGTAGCGCATGGCACTAACCAATGTACCGCCACTCCCCCACTACACCCTGTGCAACACAGATCATCCCCCATGTAGTCTTAACAGACTTTTGCGGCAAGTGCTCTTAGCAAGTACGGCACACGATGGTTTGGGTGGCCAGCACCACGCCCGGCCACCTTTGTCTCTCCAGTGGCGATGTTTACGCACCGCACCAGGTACTCATTTGAAGCTGAGTCCACCTAAGGGAGGCCTAGGAGCGGTTCAGATAATCGTCACACAAACATAAACACGCGACTTTCACGCACACCCATGAACCAGTGGCATAGCTATCGAGTGTGTAGGCGGTGCAACTGCACCAGGCCCCACGGGCCAGGGGCGTGCCCAGGTTCCGGGCCACACATTTTTCTGATGGGGGGAATGGGAGGGTTGGTGGTGCCCTCCGCCAGCCTCTCCCGCCACAGCCTCCTGCCACAGCCTCTCCCGCCCCAGCCTCTCCCGCCCCAGCCTCTCCCGCCCCAGCCTCGCCCGCACCACTGCGATGAGCCCGGATTTGGCGACCGCGTCGCGACCTGCGCGGCCGTCAGTCCCCGTGGCGGTCGTGCGGCGCGGCCCCGTTGCGGTGCCACATGCCGCGGTGCGAGTGGTGGTGGTGGTAGAAGTTGCGCAATCGCAGGCGCTCCACCTCCAGGCCGGCGGACAGCACCCTGCGGGGAGAGGGCGGCGCCGCACGCAAGGACAAAGCTCCCCCGTGTAGCCTCTACAAGCTGTTGGGGCAAGTGCTGTTCGCGAGCATCTACAAAGGGCTGGCACGGCACACGATGGGTTGGGTGGCCAGCAACCACGCCCGGCCGCCTTTGTCTCCCCAGTGGCGATGTTTACACACCGCACCAGGTACTCATTTGAGGCTGAGTAGACCTAGGGGAGGCTCAGGACCGGTGTAGACAACTGTCACTCATGTGGTGGCCGTGAGCGGGAATGGAACTCGGGTCGCGGGGTTTGTAGCGCAGCGCGCTAACCACTACATCACCGCTCCCCACACGTACACACGTACACATTCATAAACACAAAGACCCACCCCCCAAATAGCCTAACAAGACTTTTGGGCGCACAAATAATTTTGTCGCGCAGACCCTCCACTGACGTAGCCCAAATGAATAATTTGCCATGCGTACGTGGATGTAATGCACCAAGACATTGAATTTTGTTTCCAATTTAATTGTTTTCAAAAGTAGCTGAAATAATATTTATTTATTTTGACAACCCCCATCTCTGTCCCACGGAGTGTCCACCACTCACCGGTCCAGCAGCTCCCAGTCCTCCCCGCCCCAGCGGTCCCGGAACTCCTGGGTGTTCATCCCCCCGACGCGGTCGAAGTCTGACTTGTAGATCCCGAGAAGGCCGAAGCCGTTCACCTCCCAGTAGCCTGAGACCGGAATAGAGGAGACAGAATGGAGGAGATGGAACGGACGAGATTGAAACGACGAGATGGAACATATGGAATGGAATGAAATAGAACAAAGGATTCCGAACAAGTGAGATGGAACAGGTGAGACAAACTGTATGAATGATTTTGGCTCTTTGATCGTGGATGACAGAGGCATTCGTGTCCAGGGATCTCGGGGTCTCTCAATCTATGGATCTTGGAGTCTCTGGGTCTCGGTGTCTCACAATTTCAGCATCTCCAATGTCTCAGGGTCTTTGGATCTCCAGATCACAGGATCTTGGGGCTTAAGGTCTCAAGATGTCAGGTCTAGGGTCCAGGGGTCTCCGTTTAGCACCTCAGTGGTTCAGTTTTTTGGATCCAGGCATCTAGTGGGTGTCAGGAGCTGACAGGTCCAGGAGAGTTTGGGAGTCTCAGGGACCGTGGGTCTCAATGCCATAGAATCTCAGTCCACAGGTTCTCTGAACAGTTTCATGGTTCAGGGTTTCAAGAGTCTCTGAGACTAAACTATATTTTTGATTTCACCAGGTCAGGCCCACTGAGCTGTATAGCTCTTTTCAGAAGCGACTTGTACACAAATGATAGCTCAACAAAGTGGCTGTCACGTGGAAATTTATAGCAGGCAAATACTCTAAAAGTGTGACGTTGATTCTAAATGTGGAGAGAAAAGCCGGAGGACTAGGGAAAAAATCCACGCGACTTGAGAAAAGACAGATAACACGCGAACTCTAAGCAGGCGTCGGGATCGAACCCTACATACCAGGCGAGGTAGTTAACAACTCTAAGAGTCGGGGGGTCTCGGTGTGGTGGAGGCCGCCCCTCACCGTCGGGCTCCGTGGGAAGGCTGCCGCAGCTGAGCCGCATGAGCATGGGGGCGAAGGCCATGCGGCCCTCCACACAGTGCCTCCTCACTGCGTCCACCACTCCCCACGGGAAGTGCAGATGGAGGTCGCACAGGAACACCACGCTGTGCGCATCCTGGCGGCCACACGGGGATGGTGAGACAGGACCGAGAGAACGGGATGGTGAGACGGGATCGGATGATGTGGAATGGAGGACGTGGGACGGGATGGGACAGAATGTGATGGGACAAAGTGGGACGGAACAAGATTGGATGGGATGAGATGGGATTGAAACGAGACTGGTTGGGATAACATGTGACGGGACAAGACAGGATGGGATGAGATGGGATGGGACGCGATAGGATAGTGAGAAAAGATGCCAACGACAGCTATTTGAATTTTCCATGTGCATGTTTTCGTTCAAAGAGAACTATTCAGAGGCGTGATAAACGACAGACAAGCACGAAGGCAGCCAGAATGGGCGCCATCAATTGTTCAAGCCCTGTGGCCCTATCGTGGGATGTTTGGCAAACTCCATTAAGGTGAAGGGGTGCGATGGCGGGATGCGGTGAATCAAATTTTGAGACGTAAGGATTGTCTCTGTCAGCGATCTCTGCTGCCGTGGTTTGGGATCCAGTAATATGTATCCAGGCCTTGGGCCCAATAGCCCACGGTGACCCTGTTCTCGTACGAATCGGAAGCTATAATTGTAAATGTTTTGTATTTCCTCTCTAACACACTGGTGGGCTAAAGTAGTAACTAATTTGCGTGTTGTTTACGTGAAAAACCTTACTGGCTGTGTCGGGTGGTGGAGGGGTACGACACATTTATACTTACGCGATCGAACTCAAAAAAACATTTATTATCAAAACATCCCCGCATATGTATGTATGTTGAACCTCGCCATTTGGCATTCTGTTGTGAGAGACTAGGCTCTAAAGAAGGTCGACTCTTTAGGGCCTAGTCATATAGAAATCTCGTGACGTGAATGTTGTCAGAGATAGAAATCTCGTGACGTAAATGTTGAGTCAGAAAGAGAAATCTCGTGGTGTGAATGTTGAGTTAGAGATAGAAATCTCGTGACGTGAATGTTGAGTCAGAGATAGAAATCTCGTGACGTGAATGTTGAGTCAGAGATATAAATCTCGTGGCGTGAATGTTGTCAGAGACATAAATCTCGTGGCGTGAATGTTGAGTCAGAGATAGAAATCTCGCGACGTGAATGTTGAGTCAGAGATAGAAATCGCGTGGTGTGAATGTTGAGTCAGAGATAGAAATCTCGTGACGTGAATGTTGCATCAGAGGTAGAAATCTCGTGACGTGAATGTTGAGTCAGAGATAGAAATCTGGTGACGTGAATGTTGAGTCAGAGATAGAAATCTCGTGATGTGAATGTTGAGTCAGAGATAGAAATCTCGTGACGTGAATGTTGAGTCAGAGATAGAAATCTCGTGACGTGAATGTTGAGTCAGAGATAGAAATCTCGTGACGTGAATGTTGCATCAGAGGTAGAAATCTCGTGACGTGAATGTTGAGTCAGAGATAGAAATCTGGTGACGTGAATGTTGAGTCAGAGATAGAAATCTCGTGGTTTGAATGTTGAGTCAGTGATAGAAATCTCGTGACGTGAATGTTGAGTCAGAGAGAGGAATCTCGTGGTGTGAATGTTGAGTCAGAGATAGAAATCTCGTGACGTGAATGTTGAGTCAGAGATAGAAATCTCGTGACGTGAATGTTGAGTCAGAGAAAGAAATCTCGTGACGTGAATGTTGAGTCAGAGATAGAAATCTCGTGACGTGAATGTTGCATCAGAGGTAGAAATCTCGTGACGTGAATGTTGAGTCAGAGATAGAAATCTGGTGACGTGAATGTTGAGTCAGAGATAGAAATCTCGTGGTTTGAATGTTGAGTCAGAGATAGAAATCTCGTGACGTGAATGTTGAGTCAGAGAGAGGAATCTCGTGGTGTGAATGTTGAGTCAGAGATAGAAATCTCATGGTGTGAATGTTGAGTCAGAGATATAAATCTCGTGACGTGAATGTTGAGTCAGAGATAGAAATCTCGTGGTGTGAATGTTGAGTCAGAGACATAAATCTCGTAGCGTAAATGTTGAGTCAGAGATAGAAATCTCGTCGTGTGAATGTTGAGTTTAAGATAGAAATCTCGTGGCGTGAATGTTGAGTCAGAGATAGAAATCTCGTGACGTGAATGTTGAGTCAGAGAAAGAAATCTGGTGACGTGAATGTTGAGTCAGAGATATAAATCTCGTGGTGTGAATGTTGAGTCAGAGATAGAAATCTCGTGACGTGAATGTAGAGTCAGAGATAGAAATCTCGGTGTGAATGTTGAGTCAGAGATAGAAATATCGTGGTGTGAATGTTGAGTCAGAGATATAATCTCGTGACTATGGCGCCCCCTCTTGGCTTCACCGGAGACTTTGGTTTGTCTACAGCTGCCCCCCACCACCCAACTCCCCATCGTGGCTCTGACGAGGAAGTCAACACAACGAGAGACATTCCCACCCCTTACAATCCCCTTTTGTCAATCCACTGCTGTATGGATGATGAGGGCCTCCCCACGTCGTGCACATCATGGGTGGGGGATGGATGGATTGGGGGCGGTCAATTGACCATACTTCACCACACTGGTCAGTGCGGGTATACAATGTACAAAGGTGGATATTTACATGTTTATTTTATTTTGCTCGCACGCCACTGCAAGTGGGAGCCCATTAACATTTCTCCTTTGGCCGAATCTGTGTGCTTCACGCCAAAGTGGTTATCATCGCTCAGAGTTGCGGACGGGAGAGGCTGTGGTCGCACAGTAGCTGCTTGTCCGTCGCTAGACATGGGGGGGGGCGGGGGGGGATCGGTGCGGGGGGCTGGGCAGGCGGGAGGTATCGACGCCGCTCAGCTCGTCACCAATACCGAACACCCGGACCGATTAGTCCGGAAGGTTTTAGTATCGGCAGGCCTCGTGAACCCACGTCGCGATCCACCTCGCGCGGCTTCTCCCCGCGAGGTGGAACTCTCCGGGCACTTTGCTGGCCAGCGACGGTCGCGTGAACTCACCTTGACGAGGTCAGCCCCGGCCTGCAGAGCGGCCGACCGCTCGAAGTTCCCTTGGAGCCTCACGTACTGATGACTGGCGAGCACGCACGCAAAGACAGACAAAGATCCCCCGTGTAGTATGCGCAAGCCTTCGGGGCAAGTGCCGTTAGCGAGCGAAGCCGGTGCCGTACACCTACGACGAGGGGGTGGGTGGCCAGCGCCACTCGCGTCCGGCCGCCTTTGTCTCCCCAGCGCTGATGTTTACTGCACACCGCACAGGGTACTCATTTAAGGCTGAGTCTACCTAGGGAGAGGCCCTTGACCGCCTTGTGCCATGAGTGGGAATGGTGCGCAGGTCGCCGAGTTCATAGCACAGCGCGCCAACTACTCCTGGGGACGCGAGCACACGAGGTCCGCTGTGCAACACGTGGCGGGGTTCAAGTCCGGGGTTCAAGTCCGGGGTTCAAGTCCGGGGTTCAAGTCCGGGGTTCCAGCCCCGTTCTCATCAGGCCGGGGTGTAAGTTTACCCAGTTGAAGGTCTCAGCTCCGTCAACAATGACCGCACAGAATAACTCCATGACATTTAAGTTTTTTTTATTTGGCAAAAAAAAACTCAGTTTGGTTGCTGCACGCGGTAGGTGGGAAAGGGGCCGTCCATAAATGACGTCACGCACCTGGGGGGGGGGGGGGGTCAGACATTTGTGACGATGTGTGACGAGGGGGGGTGGAGTTTGAGAAATGTGACGTCACATCAAAATGCGCAAGTTTAAATAAATATAGACAACACGTTCTACTTAATTAAATAGACTTTTTAAATAAATGTTTGCTCCTACAACATCAGAGTGCAGCGCCACATTAAATACGCACTACAATGACAATAGTTTAAAGCGATTTGAAGCATGTTTTATTTTGGGGGGGGGGGGGGGGGGCAGAGCTTTGTGACGTCATATTTTATGGGGGGGGGGGGGTCTGGCTTTTTGTGACGCCGTGTGACGATGGGGAAGGGTCGATGGGATGTGTGAAACTGACGTTTATACTTCACGTGGAGAGACAGAAACGAGAAAGAGGTAGGTGGGGGAGATAAATTATTTGGTTATTGTTTGTTTAATCTTTTTTTGAAAGAATTGCATTGTCCACTACGGCGCTCGCGACGACTGTGGGCACTGCCTGGACGAGGGGCGGTGATGAGGGGGGTGAGGGTCAGGAGGAGGGAAAACCTGGGCAGGGAGCTCGCTCTCAGGGCCCTCTCGATGTCCATGTCGCCGCTGTCGTAGTCGGCGATGATCAGCGAGAAGCGCCGATCACCGGTCACCCTGGACAGTTCCTCGAGGTCCCAGATGATCTGGCGCACCCAGCGGGCTTGGTTCTTCACTGCTCGGGGGGGAGGGGGGGGGCACACGCGCACGACACCAGCACGGACGGGAGGATCTCCCCCCTCGGAGGGACACTCCCCAGGAGGGACATCCCCCCCGCCTAGCCCAGCAAACCTCGTTTTGTTGATAGATGAAGAAGAAGCAAAACCACGTGCCCGACGCGTCGATGGATTACGTCACAGAAACGCGGGCAAGGGCACGTGCTGCCGCACGGCAACTTGGACGAGCGGCATGTCGACGCAACATCGTTCCGTGTCTGTGTGCCCAAAGTGTCATAGTCGTCGTCATCGTTGGACGTGATCAATTCACTGCTGGGTGAAGGCCTCCCCACGCCGTGCCGGTTACGGGTCTCGCTTCATATCACCATACTTCACCGTGCAGGTTAGTGCGGGCTCGTGAAGTTTGGAGCGGCCCAGGGACCGGTTCAGGTAGCACTAGCCGCTGATGTTGGCCATCGCCGGGAAGCCAAATCGAGTTCGCCGAGTTCACAGCGCGGTAGGCTAAACACCGCGCCACCGCTCTCCCACGCAAGACAACACCAGTCACACACATCGTTCCGTGCGTGTCTCCTGACACTCACATTCGTCCACCTCTGCACTCACTCTGGCCTCCTACCTCTTATCATCATCAACAACAATAACATCATTATATTTTATTATTCTGCTCGTTTACCCAGGAGAGCCTCGTTGAGCAAGATTTACGCAATGGGGGGGGGGGGGAGGGGGGGGGGCGATGTTGTCACGCGGTGTCCGGCTCTGTACCTGGCACAATGAAGTGGACCATCACGTTGGGCCTCCACGAGAAGCCCTGGGGCCTGCACAGGTGGAAGGCCCTCGCCCTGGAGGCCGGCACGAGCAGCGCCACGTCGCTGCTCGTGTCCACGCCGTCCCCCTCGTCCCCCTCGTCCCCCTCGTCCTCCTCGTCGTATCCGCCGTCGTTGGCGGCGTCGTCGTCGTCGTCATTGCGGGCGGCGCCTTCGTAAACCTCCGCACCGCCGTGGAGTCGCCCGTCGCCGCGGTAGTCCTCCTCCTCCTCCTCGTCTTCCTCCTCGTCGTCGTCGTCCTCGTCGTCCTCGCCGTCGACGTGACCGCCGCCTCTGCCGCGACGGCGGAGGGGACCTTGGGCCCACGTGGCGTACACGTACTGCGAGAGGCGCGCCACGGGGGCCTCGGTGGAGCCGGCCTCGGCCCCGACCTTGACCTCCACCTCCAGCTCCAGGAGGTAGCGGCCGCCCCTGGCGCCGTCACGGCGCTTCTCCACGGCCACGGCCCGGCGCAGGCGCAGCGCGCTGCGCGGCAACGCGGGGCCGGGGATGATGGACGCAGGCGGCGTTAGAACGGAACGCGACGGGGGGGGGGGAAGGGGGGGGGGGAGTGGGGGGGTCGCAGCAGAGCACGGCACCCCCCCTACCGTGCCGAGGAGTGATTGGCAAATCACTCAATTGGGAGTGCACGGAGCAGCGGCACCGTTCCCCCTTAACAGGAGAGCGACATCACAGGTGACACAATGTCACCTATAAACAGAAAGTGCGAGGAAAACAACAATAACAACAACGTTATGGTCCATGGTCCCTTCGTCGTGACGATGGCGATTAACGCGTTTGGCCACGTGCAGTGCGCGCGCGCAGACGCAGGCGTGGCACGTCCTCCCCTGGCACACGAACCCAAGGGTACGGGAATTACTCAACACGTGCCTCGCCGTGCAGCAGGACCCCTCGCAGGAAAGAGCCTCGAGACTCGACGAGGCTCTCCTCGGTTTAATAAGCGAAGAGATAAAGCGACTCGCAGAAGTGAATCGTCCTCTGGTTGAGTGGCGCACAGCCCCGTGGCAGCCTACAGCCTACAACCTACAGCCTATAGCCTACAGCAGCAGCAGCAGCCTGCTACCTGCTGCTGCTGGGCGTGAGGGTAGCCCGTCATCAGCGCCTGCCAGGGTCGAGTCTGCGGCCTCGCTTGATCTGGTTGAGGCGTCTCTGATGCAGGATGGAGGAGCTTTGTTGCCTATTGATTTGCATGTGAATGGGATGATTCTGCGTACCGCTCTTCACCAGCAATCATTCCCTATAACTGCTCCTCACCAACACTCACCGCTCCTCACCACCGCTTACTCCCGCTTGCCACTCCTTACTACTGTTCACCGCTGTTTGGTTCCGCTCACCAATCTTCACCACCGCTCCTCACCACCGCCACTCACCACCACCCATCAATCCTCACCGCTCCTCACCACCACCGCCACTCACCACCACCCATCAATCCTCACCGCTCCTCACCACCACCGCCACCGCTCATCACCACCACCACCGCTCCTCACCACCACTGCTCACCGCTCCTCACCGCCGTTCCTCACCGCTGGGCTCCGCGGGCGTTGAGCAGCTGCACGAATCTGCGCGCCACCGCCAGCGCCTCGCGCGCCGGCGCCAGCGCGTTGCCGGCCACGTTGCACCGCAGGTCGATGCGGTCCGACCTCGCCCGCTCCACATCCACGCGGCCTCGCGCGGCGAACGTGCGGCCCCAGTCCAGCGCCGCCTCCCCGCGGCCCGGCCTCTCGGGGGGCCCCGCGGACGAGGGCCCCGGCCCCGCGCGTCCCGGACCCGGGCCCCGGCTTTCGGCGGCCGTCACCGCCGGGGTGCGGGAGGGCGGCGGGGGTTCGATCGGGGGGCGCGCGGCCCCTCCCCCTGCCAGGCGGCCGCCGCCACCGCCGCCGAGGAGGAGCGAAGTCCCGGTTCGTGTCCCGGTTCGGTCGAGGTCGCCCCGACGCTCCGAGATGTTTGGCTCGGGGCCGAAGCCCTCGAGGACGAGGAGGGAGCGGCTGGAGTGCTCCCGACTCTCGCGGGAGTCGCGGCCGGACCGCCGGAGCCAGCCGCGAGCGTCCCCCGCCTCGGGGTCGGGGTTCGAGTCGCGGCGAGGTCTCCTCGTCGCTCCGCCGGCAGACGCCGACTCCTCGTCGCGCCGGACGCCAACGCCGCCGCTGCTGCCGTTCGTCCCGGGCGCCCCCGGAGAGACGGAGGTCCGCGGCCCCTGCGCCCCGCAGCCACGCGGAGGCCGCGACCCCGAGGGCCTCGCGTCGGCCGTGGGTGCCTCCTGGGCTCGGCTACCCGTTCGTGCAGCTCGCGCGGAGCGGTCCCAACTCGCGGGGCCGACGCACCCACGATCGCTCCCCACCACCGCTGCGGTCCTCCTCGTGACCCTCTCCGTGACCTTCTCCGTGACCCTCTCCGTGACCCTCTCCGTGACCCTCCCCGTGACCCTCTCCGTGACCCTCCCCGTGACCCTCTCCGTGACCCTCCCCGTGACCGCTCGCCTCTCCGCGTCTGCGGTTCGCGACGGGGAAGAGGAGCGGTGCCGCAGCGGTTAGCGCACTGCGTAATGAAGCCAGTTGTGTTCCAGGTTTGATTGCCGGGCATGGCTAACATCAGTGGCGAGCGATATCTGAACTGCTCCTGGGTTCTCTCCCTCCTCCTCCCACCACCTCCCGTTCATCAACTCACACCGACCAGCGTGGTGACGTATGGTCAGATAGCCCACATGATACAAGGTGTGGGGAGGCCTTCATCCAGCAGTGGATAGGTCATGGATCCTGTTAATAATGAGTGATAATAATAATAATAATAGCAAATTCGATAATCGGTCTCCTTCATATATCCGTCTCTCCACAAAAGAAGCAAAACTCGGGACCGGTTTGGACATGCAGCGTGTCATCAGCTGAGGCTCGCTTGAATCGCATCGACGCTGCCGAGTCCGTGCGCAGTCTCCCACCAAGGACAGCAGGTGGCGACTCGAGCGCACTCGGCCAACGCGTCTCCTGCGTGACGGCAAGCGGTAGGAATTCCACAATGCTATGGTGGGGGTGAGGCCATCCGTTACGGGACAACCACGCTTGACGTCCCACAAAGTGGTACTCGTTTTATCGACGTCAAAGGGATGATGATGATGATGATGGTGGTGGTCCCGAGCGGACCTCCGACCGGGATCTGAACTCGCGATCTTATTGGCTACACCGGGGTTTCTCCATTCTGTGATGACCAACTATCAGGTACGTGCAGCGTTGTGCGTCGGCATATTTCAATGTGGACAAAAACTCTTGGAGTAATCGTCTATAAAGCTGAACCGGCCGTACAAGTAACAGTGGACAAACATAAACATTGCGAGAACATGAAACATGGATGGTCTCTCTCAAATCAAAGTCAAGTCCTGGGCAGACTGCGGGAGAGAGGGCCCATCGAGAACAAGGGGGAGAAAATATTTATAGACGGACAGAAAGATACAGAGAGACACATGACATGATACAGACAGGTAACAGAGATACAGAGATGCATGGATACACAGGGTTGAGCTTGGGCAGTGTTTGGAATTGCCCAGGATGCACGGCAGGTTGCTGTAGGCTGCAGCGTGGTAGGGACCCAGAGGGCACTCTTCACCAACCTGCACGGATCATTGTGGTCAAGTATGGTCACATAACCCCCCACCCCGCGACCCACAGGGCACGGGGAGGCCCTCATCCAGCAGTGCCAGCACAGGTGGTGGCCTGACATTTCTGGATGTCAAGGTACTCGTTTAAGGCCGAGTTGACCTAGTGGAGGGCCAGGACTGGTGCAGATAATCGTCAGACACTGGGCATCAACGGGCCGCTGTGGACTCGGCTTTACTCGGCTCCGATGTCACGGCGAGATTCCAGTTCATGCTGCAAAGGACCTCCAAAACGCATCGGCCGCGCGCTTTGAAGACCTTCCGCTGTACCTCTCCGGCATGGATCACTCTGCGCTGACATCATCGTCGTCGTCATAACCCCCGTCCATAAATCCCAATAATACTCATTACCTAATTGTACAAAATCAATAAGCGGCGGGCCCCAGAATCTTAACAGCGGTTGCCAGGTCTGATTGTGAAAAACATGGTGAATCTTAATGCCATCTTGCCGACGAATAAAGCCTGCACATTCTCGATTATGGTGGCTACGCTGCTGCACGCGGGCTGTGTTCATTAACTGCGGAGGCAGCGGCGGGGGTTGGTGGATCACCGCACGAACGTGTGCCGTACCCTGGCTCGCAAGGAGTAGGCAGTATCACAAAGTGCGGACTAACATCGTCTGTCCCTTCCGTGTGAGATAGAGTGTTGCCCCCTCGCACGCGTGGGTTGTCACCGGGTGCTGCCCCCTTTCCTCCCCGCATTTGTTGGCTGATAATATCCCAATACGTAGCGGATCGCAGAGCTTGAGCAATCGTTGATAACGCCGGCTCACCACAGCCTGGCTGCTGCTGCTGCCGCCTTCCAGCTTGTGTCTGTGGATCCTCGTCGATTGCGAGATTGTGGGAGATGCACTTTTATACGCTGCTGCGGGCGTATAAAAATGAACAGCGTTATTATTTTAATCATCATCGATATTGTTACCCTGCCAGGTGTCCGTCCACCTGGCACCTGCTGTGCACACGGGCCGATTGTGTCGCTACCGACCTCCTCTCTCACGCGATCCATTCCCTCGGCGTGTCTCAGGGTAGCCCTCGAACATAGACGTTCAGACGCGCGCGATGTGGCCGTCTGGAACGCTCTTCTTTCCGTTATAGGGAAGCCACTTGAGCTATGCACTTTTAAATCATCCGGATTGAAAACTCACTTCTTTAGGAATTGATTTTTGCGTTTCGTAGTTTGTTGTCCTTCCCCCGCACCTCCAAATGAACACGGTAGGCTACACGTACGATGCGAAAGAAGTTCACCGCACATACAACACGCACAAGAAGGAATAATGATCGCGGCGATGTTCTCGTTTGGTTATTTTTTTTTACCTGGGGGTCGTGGCAACTGAGTGGCTGCGTTCTCCTGCCCTCCGGCCTCGGCAGCGTCCACCTTCATGTAGCGGCTAAAGTCCACCCTTGCAGGGCGGGAGGGGGGCGGGGAGTAGTTCAGAAAAGAGGAAAGCATTGGTATTGGTAATACAAGTTTTTATTTGGATGAGATGGCGTGAATATTAAAGTGTTGTTAATTCGCCACCAACACCACCCAACACAAGCCAATTAGTGAGATATGTCGTGAAAACAAAATGTGCCCAATTAGTTACTACTTGAGCACATACCGGTGTGCTGGAGATCAAACGCGCAACATTTACAATTTGATTACAACATTTCGCTGGTGATAACAAAAAAACAGCTTCCTCTGGCGATTCGCCACATTTTTTTGTTTACGTGACGAACTTTACTAATTGGCTGTGTCAGGTGGTGGTGTGTTCACAACACGTTTAGTGATTTGAATAATGGAGTCGGTTCAAATGAGGGTCAGGGGATGGGCAGAATGGAATCGCGGTTTGACTCCGGCGGGCCGCCCCGGTCATAACCGCGGTGTGGATGCATTAACCGTAACGTGCCACTGCGCGCCATCTGCTCTGCTCGCAATGGTGGACGTTAAAGATCCCCGTGACGTCAGTAGGAACGAGCAGGGCGTTGCGTGCCGCCGGCGGGGTCACGCAATGCCAAGTTTGAAAAATGACGCCGCAAATTTAAACATTTTGGATCGCGCACACGCACGCAGGGGCAGCAGTTAGCGACCCATCGCCCCCTTCTGTGAAAACTACTGCGGGTTGTGCGGGTGAGACGTAGCGCCTTGTCTTCGTGATGATAGCCGTGCGCTATACGTACCAAATGTATTAAATTACTGTTATTATTATGACTCATAGTTATCATTTCATGATTCACACCCCCCCAGTGACCCATGATTTGGGGTCAAGAATCGATTCAAGAATATAATTCAATAATTGATTGTGTTTTATTGAACTCCTCTACATAGCTTGCCTCGTTAGTTTTCGCTCATAAGTTCCGGAAGCCAAAAATTAAAATAGAATTTGCATCGATCGTAAACGATCGATTAAAACCCCCGTAGATTATTTTACCCCGCCGACCACAAGCGCGCGCCCTATCGCCAGCAGAGGCAACCATCCCACGTGCTTCATAGACTCTGTTAGCGAGCACCTATTAAGGGCAGCCCTGGCACACGACTGGGGTAGTAGCAGTGGGCAGGTGTTGACACGCTGTGCTTTACGCACGGCGCCAGGTGCTGTTTCCAGGCGGAGGCGACCTAAGTGTCGCCACCAATGTCAGACGCGGCTGGTAAGTGAAGTCAGGATGCTGGCTTTAGAGTGCAGCAAGGTCGCTAACCACTGCGCCGCACTCCAATTACATGGACACAGATCGCCCCCCACCCCCCACCCCAGCATAGCTTTTAACAGGCTGTTGGGACAAGTGCGGTTAGAGAGCACCTACGAACTATTAAGGCCGGCACGGAACACGATTGGGTAGGTGGCCAGCACCACGCCTGGCCGCCTTTGTCTCCCACAGTGCTGAAGCTTACACACAACACCGGGCACTCATTTGAGGCCGAGTCGACCTAAGGGGGAGGCCCAGGACCGGTTCAGTTAATCGTCACCGTTGTTGGTGGCCGTGAGCGGGAATCGAACTCGGGTCGACGGATTCACGACACTACCGCTCCCCACGCACACACAACAGACACATATCTCCCATATAGCCTGAACACTGTCAGAGCAAGTGCTGTACCTATGGAGGCCGGCATGGCACACGAAGGGGTAGGTGGCCTGCACCGCGACCGGCCGCCTTTGTCTCCCTAGTGGCGATTTTTACAGACCCTGTACTCGATTTGAGGCTGAGTCGACCTCGGGGAGGCCCGGTTCAGATAATCGTCACTGGTGTTGGCCGTGAGCGGGAATCGAACCCCCCGGGTCGCCGGGTTCGCGGCACAGCGTGCTAGCCACTGCACTACCGCTACCCCCCCCCCCCCCACACACACAGACATACACACACACACAGACATACACACACACACACACGTGTACACACACGTGTACAACAACCGCCATTCGCCACTAAGTGGCGGTGACGTCACCACGACGCTTGTGCCAGGCCATGTGCACCTTGAGGCCACGTGAAGTGTCGAACGCCCGCGGGCAGGTCACGGGGTAGACCCAGGTGCCACGGGTCGACTGACTGAGATGACTGGCTGGTGCACCACCTGTGCCCCCTACTGTGCCAACCTGCTGTGCTTTAGCCACCCGGCGCTCCGCTCGTTGTTGTGAGCGTCGCTCCTCCGCCCTCCGTTGTTGTTGGAGGGCGACTGCCTCCAACTGCCCAACAGCGTGCTTCACGAGCCTCCCCCACAGAGGCCGATCTTGACACCGCTGGTACCAGTCATCGGCAAATCCACTCAGCTCCACGTCCTCCTGTACCACATTACTCCATCTCTTCTCTAGCCCGTGCCGCGCCCGTTTAGCCCCCTCGATCCGGCCGAACAAAAGCTGTTTCGGCATGCGGTGGCTGGGCATGCGGGCTACATGACCCAGCCAACGCAGCCTTGCCTGCCGGAGGAGCTCACCGATGGGACCTTGCCCAGATCTTTCAAGGATTTTTGAGCTCCTCACACAATCCAGCCTGGTTAAACCCAGGATGGATCGTAGGCAGGCAAGCCTAAATGTTTCTAACCGGCGAAGATGTTCCATTAAGGGGGTCCACGTTTCGCAAGCGTAGAGAAGGGAGGGAATGACCGCGGCCGAGACGACCTGAAGCTTAGTGCGGAGCGACAGACCAGGTAGCTTCCACACAGCGTTACGCAACCGATGAAAAGATATTGTCGCTCGACTGACACGTAGTGAGACCTCTGCTGTTAAACTGGAGCCGGTCATAAGCACACTGCCCAGGTATGGGAATCTCTCCACTCTCTCCACAACTGCCCCATCACCGATTGGGAGTTGTGGGGGTGGATTGTCCGATGGTACAAAATACCCAGGCAGGTGCTTAGTTTTGGTGGGGCTGATGGTAAGGCTCCAGTTTCAGCAGCGGCGTCTCCAACTCCTCCTCTGAATGAGCAGCTATTACCAAATCATCGGCATACATAACGTGGTTGAGCAATAAGGAGCCATCCCTTGACCCCCTACCTCCTCGCGGTGCCGGACGGGCAACTTTGTCGTGGACAGTGATGTGGGGGGGGGGCAATTCCGATTGGCTCCTCCCCTCATGGCGTCTGTGTCCACCACAGTGGCTAAACGGGGGCTCTGGAAGGGTGCGAGGGGCTGGTAACCCCTCCACCTTCAATTAATTACCACTAAACCACGAGCTAAACTGAAATATGTAACACGTGTACACACACACGTGCACACACACACGCACAAATGTGTACACACACACGTGTGCACACACACACGTGTACACACACACACGTGTACACACACACACACGTGTACAAAGACAAAGATCCCCCATATAGCCTGTAACAGACTGTAGGGGCAAGTGCTGTTAGCGAGCACCTATGAAGGCCGGAACGGTACACGAGGGTGTGGGTGGCCAGCACCACGCCCGACCGCCTTTGTCTCCCTAGTGGCGATGTTTACACACCGCACCAGGTACTCATTTGAGGCTGAGTCGACCTAGGGGAGGCCCGGGACCGGTTCAGATAATCGTCACTGGTGTTGGCCGTGAGCGGGAATCGAACCCGGGTCGCCAGGTTCATAGCGCAGCGCGCTATGTGTACACACACTCACACACAGACATACACACACATGTGTACACACACAGACATACACACACGCGCGTGTACACACAGACACACAGACACGCACACGCACGTGGGGTGCGCGTTACCCATGGGGGCTCCCCCCGGCCGCCGCCCCCCCACCCAGGGCGCGCTGCTCGTAGACGCACGCGTTCTCGCTCTCCATGTGCGCGAGGCGCGTGAAGTCGTTGGGGTAGACGTAGGAGAGGTACACCTGGCGCAGCACCAACACGCAGCACAACACGCAGCACTCGTGTAGCACAGCACTGACAGCACACAGCACTCGTGTAGCACAGCACTGACAGCACACAGCACTCGTGTAGCACAGCACTGACAGCACACAGCACTCGTGTAGCACAGCACTCGTAGTAGCACAGCATTGACACAGCACACAGCACTCGTGTAGCACAGCACTCGTAGTAGCACAGTATTGACACAGCACACGGCACTCGTGTAGCACAGCACTGACAGCACACAGCACTCGTGTAGCACAGCACTCGTAGTAGCACAGCACTGACAGCACACAGCACTCGTGTAGCACAGCACTGACACAGCACTTGTATACCACAGCACTGACACAGCACGCAGCACACGTGTAGCACAGCACTGACAGCACACAGCACTCGTAGTAGCACAGCATTGACACAGCACACAGCACTCGTAGTAGCACAGCATTGACACAGCACAGCACTCGTGTAGCACAGCACTGACACAGCACGCAGCACCGACACAGCACACCACTAACACAGCACAACAACACGTCACTAATATAGTACAACGCTAACACAGCACATCACTCGCACAGCACGTGCCAACACACAGACATCACAACACACCGATCAATAACACTGCGACCATACACGGGGAAAAAACACATAAAATCAGCGACGTTTCGGGCAATGGGGCTTCCTCATTGCACGAAAGTACACTGCAGTCACGTCCGCGGCGCGTACGTACGAACTGGAGGCCCTGGTAGCGCAGGAGCGGATGGCCTCGGATGGTGTAGGTCGGCTTGTAGGCACAGCCAGGCAGCCCGCCAGCCAGCCAGCGCTCATCCAGCAGGGGCACTGGGCAGGGCGCACACGGGGGCGATGGGGTGGATGGGGTGGATGGGGTGGATGGGCTCTCCAGCAGCGTTTAATTTGACTCGTTCATCCAGGAAAGCCACGCGGAGTCATGTCACTCGTTCTCAAGAGCGTCCTGCCATGCAGGGGTTTTTTATTTTAAGATATTTTCAGCCAGTTGTACTATGTTGAACTTCTGTCCGCACCGTACGTAGCCATCGGAGGTGCAGGAGGAAGGACAACAAACTAAAGGCAACGACAAGCTGTTCTCAAGTGATGAGTTGTGTTTAGTAGACACGTGGGGGAGGAAACCGGAGCATCCGGAGCAAGCCTTCGCATTGCGCGAGGGGGCAACGCTGTATCCCCGCACACAGATGGAAACGGATGGCGATTAGTCCACTTGCTGGCACCGCCGTCTCCGGGCTAGCCAGGGGACAATGCCTCTCGACGCCCACGGGAAGGGAGCTTCACAACAACATCTGTGTGCGGTGATCCACCAACCCCTGCCTGCCTCAACACTGTTGCGTTAGAGGCCAACGTGCAGAGCCATGGCTGCCCGGCTAATTGCTGTGCTGGGATATCGTCCCTGTCGTTGATAGGTACCACCGCTATGCCCACGTCGCTCCTGAGCCTCCCACCGCCCCTGTTGCCAGAGGTCTCTGTCGTCGCTGCACTGTTGACCAGTTGACACGCGGCATGCTTAAAACCCAACAAAGATCCCCTGTATAGCTTTAACATAATGTAGGGGCAAGTGCTGTTAGCGAGCACCTATGAAGGACGGCACGGTACACGAGGTGGTGGGTGGCCAGCACCACGTCCGGCCGCCTTTGTCTCCCGAGTGGCGATGTTTACACATCGCACTAGGTACTAATTTGAGGCTGAGTCGACCTAGGGGAGGCCCAGGACCGGTTCAGATAATCGTCACTGGTGTTGGGTCGTGAGCAGAAATCGAACTCGGGTCGCCGGGTTCGTAGCGCAGAGCGCTAACCGCTGCACCACCACTCCCCACTTAAATCTCAACACACTCGTTCGTTAGCAACACCGCGTGTGGCCTTGAAAGTAAATCAATGAGGCGACGTTTCGGGCGATGGACCTTATTCACAAAACACAGCGAGGCAATAGAGGTAGAGTGGGCCTCTCTGCTCTGGCCTCTGTGTAACCTGAATAAGAGCCATTGCCCGAAACGTGGCCTATTTTATATTTTGATCTTTGAAGGCCACAGTTGTTGTTGTTGAGTGTGAGTTTGTTGTTGTTGGCTGTGTTTGTGCACCAATGACAACGTTGCAACTGCAGCATCATCACCAAACAATGTGTTTATGTTTATATGACACGCTTATATTCCGAGATCTGGTAGTAGTAGTAGTAATAATAATACGCTACTAGTTTTTGAACCTGTCAACCTACTTTCTGTACTGCCCGTGTACAACGTGTGCATCTCAAGACAATGGGCGTGGCCTCCTCACCCGTGAAGAAGGTGTCCTGCGGGCTGTACGCCAGCATGGCGGCGGGGTGTTTGGGGGAGGGGCTCGTCCCCCCCCGGGGTGGGGGCCCCCCTAACCCCCCCGGGGTCAGGGGCACGTGACCCGTCTCGTCCATGCCCAGGCCCCTCTCGTCTGCGCACGGGAGTCGAACACAGTCCGTGTGGTCAGCGGCGAGAGGTCGAGTCGACGCGCCCTCTCTCGCTCGCCCTCACTTCGGCAGAGGGCTGCGGAAAAGTCAAACTAATTTCGTTTTCCTATCTTTCACAGGTTTTTTTTGTTTCAGAGCACCTCGTTCCAAGGCGCTTTACAGCAATGTTAACATTGCACACACGGTGATGGTGGTTGAGATCAAGAGTGGTGTGGGTTGTTGTTGTTGTTAAAAGTGGTGGAGCAATGACAGGAGAACAGGCGGGAGTGGTTGAGGAAGGGTTGGGGTAGTGATAGGGGTTGAGGTAGTGGAAGGGGTTGGGGTAGTGATAGGGGTAAGGTAGTGATAGGGGTAGGGTAGTGATAGGGGTAGGGCAGTGATAGGGGTTGGGGTAGTGATAGGGGTAGGGTAGTGATAGGGGTAGGGTAGTGATAGGGGTAGGGTAGTGATAGGGGTAGGGTAGTGATAGGGGCAGGGTAGTGATAGGGGCAGGGTAGTGATAGGGGTTGGGTAGTGGAAGGGGTTGGGGTAGTGATAGGGGTAGGGTAGTGATAGGGGCAGGGTAGTGATAGGGGTTGGGGTAGTGGAAGGGGTTGGGGTAGTGATAGGGGTAGGGTAGTGATAGGGGTTGGGGTAGTGATAGGGGTTAGGGTAGTGATAGGGGTTCGGGTAGTGGATAGGGGTTGGGGTAGTAATAGGGGTAGGGTAGTGATAGGGGTAGGGTAGTGGAAGGGGTTGGGGTAGTGATAGGGGTAGGGTAGTGGAAGGGGTTGGGGTAGTGGAAGGGGTTGGGGTAGTGGAAGGGGGTGGGGTAGTGATAGGGGTAGGGTAGTGATAGGGGTAGGGTAGTGATAGGGGTTGTGCTTGGCCTGGTCGTAGCTGGGGGCAGGGAAGTAGCAGCAGGATGATGATGAGGATGATGATGATGGGGTCGGGCAGAAGAGGTTGGGGTTGTTGGGAGATAGGAACAAGCTGCAGGTTCTTGTTGAGATGGTGAAGATGGTTGTTGTTGTGATGGTGACGATGGTTATTGTTGTTGTGATGGTGAAGATGGTTGTTGTTGTGATGGTGAAGATGGTTCCAGCGAAGGGGAGCGAGACTGGGCACAGCAGGCCGAGCGAGGGCCCCAGAGGAGAGGGTCGTGTGGAGGCTAGGATCGTAGAGGCCGCCCACGGGACAGAGGAGAGACGGGAGACGCCGCGACACAGCGTGGCGGGGCAAGGCCACGGAGGCCGTCAGCCTCTCGTCACCAAAGGCGGCGGCTTGTAGAGGCCTTCATCCAGCAGTGGATAGAAACAAATTTCTCTCTGCTTCTTCTCTCGCACTGCTCAAGTTTGCAGTTCCATCCCATCGTCTCTTTTAAAGCTCTTACAAAAATAACATTCATAATAATCACCACGCTCAATTCAAGAAATGTCTTGCGCTCATCAAGTACAACCCTCATGGTGCTGTTTGTTCCTGGCCGCTTGACGTTCTGGACCTCCGGGCCCTGCAACTGTGTGGCTTTTAAAAAAAAAAACCCTCCCCACCGAAGCGTGAAGCGATCTCCGCGTCTCCCTTCTGCCCACCTCTCTACCCATCACCACCCATCCTCACCCGCACACCGACTCTCATCATCATCCGCGATGGAGCTTCACGGAGGCTCGAGTGGATGGCCGTGAGTGCCTGGGGCACGGCTCGCATGCCGATGTGCGAGTGATATTGTCCCCGTGCCCGTGGGTGGGTGGGTGGGGAGCGGTGGCGCAGCGGTTAGCGCCGCACTGCGCTACGAACACCGGTGACCCGAGTTCGATTCCCGTTCATGGTCAACACCAGTGACTATTATCTGAATCGGTTCTGGGCCTCGCCTAGGGCGATTCAGCCTCAAACGAGTACCTGGTACGGTGTGTAAACATCGCCACTGGGAGACAAGACGACCGGGCGTGGTGCTGGTCACCCACCCCCTCGTTTACCGCAACGACCTTCATAGGTGCTGCTCGCTAACACCGCTTGTTCCTATAGTCTCTTCAGGTTGTACGGGGGGAATATTCGTTGTGTGAATGAGACGGACTCTCAATACGAAGCCACTTCATGCTGTCAGCGAGCCCCTGTTAAGGCTGGGAAGGGTCACGGAGAGGTTTCTTGTGACCAGCACCACACCAGGCTGCCTTCGGTGCTGATACGTACACACCACACCAGGTACTTGTTTGAGGCCGAGTCGACCTAGGGGAGGCCCAAAAGCGGATGAACAATTTCGCCACTGTTCAGATAAGCCACCACCGGTGTCGGTGGCTGTGAGCGGGAATCGAACTCGGGTCCGCCGGTGTTCATAGCGCAGTGCGATAACCGCTGCGCCACCGCTCCCCACACAAAGACAAATCACCCCTGTATAGCCTTAACAGACTGTTGGGGCAAGTGCTGTTAGCGAAAACACATGAAGGCCAGAACGGCTCACGAGGGGGTGGGTGGCCAGCACCATGCCCAGCCGCCTTTGTCTCCCCAGTGGCGATGTTTTAACGCAACGCACCAGGTTCTCATTTGAGGCCGAGTCGACCTAGAGGAGGCCCAGGACCAGTTCAGATAATTGTCACCGATATTGGCCGTGAGCGGGAATCGAACTCGAGTCGCCAGTTTCTTAGCGCAGCATAGCGCTAACCGCTACACTACCGCTCCCCACACACGCGAGCACACACACCACACACACACCACACACACACCACGCACACACATACACCACACACACACACACCACACACACACCACACACACACGCACACACACGAGCACACACACCACACACGAGTGCACACAACAATATAAACCCAAAAAACTTGCTCATAAAATCCACAGGGAGTTTTGGGTCAGTCATGATGGAAATGTAGTCAATATATATGCTAAGTAGCGAGAGGGGATGATGGCGGTGAAGGTAGAAGGGCTGGGGGTGAGGGAATGAGAGTCGGAGGTGAGTGAGTGTGTGTGACAGGGTGACGGTGAGTGTGTGTGGCATTGCGGGGTTTTTTTAAATACCTGTATAGGTGTGTGATGGCGATTGCTCATGTGTAAGAGTGTGTGTGTCTTTGTGGCAGGTGTGAGCGTACATATATGTACGTGTGAGCGTGACGGTGTGTGTAAGAGTGGAAGCAGAGTCCTGCCTCAGCAGTTCGCCTGCTGTATTTTTTCACCTGAAGACGATTGCTTGTGTTGCGATCGAAACGTCGTGATTTTTATTTTGCTATGTACGTGACTTTACCGAAAGACCCAAAGAGTATGTGTGGGACTGTTGTGAGACGGGGAGCGGTGGTGCAGTGGTTAGCGCACTGCAATACGAATCCCCGGCGAGCCGAGTCGCCTTCCCACTCGCAGTCCTCAACACCGGCGACGAATATCTGAACCGGTCTTGGGCCTCTCCTAGGCTCACTTGGCCCAAAATGAGTTGGCTGTTGCAAAGTGTGTCAAAATGTGTCAAAATCTCACACCGGAGGGACGAAGGCCCGCAGGGCGTGGTGCCGACCAACCCACCTCCTCGTGCGCCGTGCCGGCCTTCATAGGCGCGACTCGCTCACGGCACTTGCCCCCAAGCGGCCTGTTGCGAGGCTACGCGGGCGACCTTGTTGTGCTCTGTGCGGCTCTCACCTGCGTAGAGGGACAGGTGGCGTGAGTCGACGACGCGGAACCGCCCGCGAGCACCGAGGCGACTCCACTGGGCGGGTGACGCAGGGCGGAGAGGGGACGGAGGAGCAACAACACGAGGTGGAATTACGTTGTCGTTTAAAGAAGAAAAGAACGACAACAAAAAACGGGTAGCTCTTCTCTCGTCGCTCGACTGAACGAAACTGTCCATAGTTTACCGGGTAAGGCCCAGTGGGCTATGCACGCTCTCTTTCAGAAGCGACCTGGCTATCGCACGTGATAGCTGGCTCATCGTGTGGACATGTAAGACAGCCAAATACTCTGAGCGCACGTTTCTAAACGTGGAGGTAAAACCGGAGGACACGGAGGCAAATGCACGCGGACACAGGGGGAACGTGCGAACTCAAAAATACACATGCGTGAGGGTCGGAATCGAACCGACCTCGTCCTGTGTACCAGGCGTTACACCCGGGCGATCTGTCCAAAGCTTTCCGACATGAATTTGAGCGCTTCGTTCAGAAAAAAAATATCTATTTAAAAGTCACGGTCAAGCATGCCACCCTCGCCTTTTGTGATTCCATCGCGCTGACATTTCATCAACGTGTAAATAACGGGCAGTCGATCGCAGCACATGCTCCCTTGGGCAACTGAGACATTGGTTGGCCTCAATTAGCGCTCCGTGTCCAAGAGATAAGTGTGACGAGTAGAGTCGCCGTTTTAACAATGCCCTTAAATTACCCAGGAAAAATACACCCAGGTAATTACGAGGATTATCATATTATCAGGAGGTTCCTGCCACATTGCGCTTTTTGGAACGATTCCACCGTTGAGAGTGCGGCTTCGCGTGGGGAGCAAAACCGGTGCACCCGGTTGCAAAAACCCTCGCGTGCGAGGGGGCAGCACTCTATCCCATACAGAAGGCGCAGTCGACTGGGACAGATGTGACAGCGTCGGAATAATATGACTCGCGCGAGTCTTCGATGATGTTTCATTAACATAGACGCGACGTCCCACGGACATTATCAGGATCACTTTCAATCAATGAACAGCAGCCACGGTGTCCGAAAGAGCTCCGCGTTCTTCGTGCAAAGAAAAAAAAACGATGTTCTCGATCGATCGCGAGCCCCTACTGGGCGGGGGAGACGGTCTCCGTTTGAGACAGAGCGGTGCAGAATTACCTCCCCCCGCCCCCTCGCGTCGCGATCGATCGGCAATTCGTCAAAACCAGACGAAACTAAAGTTTATAAGCTGCCACACACAAAACAATAACCTACGATCTCTTCAAGAATGACCTTGCCCACACACACACACAAGACAAGAACCTACCATCTCTTCAAGAATGAACTCGCTCACACACACACAGAAAAATATCAGCGGATTGTTGGGTCTTAGTTACCAACAAATTTGCCACCGGGCACTGAGACGCTGAATCGGTCAATAGAGACGGAGTCCCGAGGATTAAAATGTGAGGAGAGGGCGCAGTGCCAGGAATAGCTTCATCCTCATCATTGCCCCCCCCCCTCCTGCCTATCTCTCTCTTGTCTGCGAGACGTCTGTGAGACGAGAGAGGGGGGGGACATCGATCTTCCGGAGTGCCGCGCCACGCTTCCTCCTCCTGGCGTCCGGGTAAAGTCGCGTTAATAATGCATCGCCTGGCAATGCGCGCGGCTCAGCCTCATCATCGGCATCGTCAATCTTCCCTAGACTATTAAACACACGCACACAAACACACAACAACAACCAACAATCGCCATTCGCCACTAAGTGGCGGTGACGTCACCACGACGCTTGTGACAGGCCATGTGCACCTTGAGGCCACGTGAAGTGCCGAACGCCCGCGGGCAGGAGGTCATGGGGCAGACCCAAGTGCCACGGGACGACTGACTAAGATGACTGGCTGATGCACAACCTGTGCCCCCTACTGTGCCAACCTGCTGTGCTTTAGCCACCCGGCGCTCCGCTCGTTGTTGTGAGCGTCGCTCCTTAGCCCTCCGTTATTGTTGGAGGGTGACTGCCTCCAACTGCCCAGTAGCATCCTTCACGAGCCTCCTCCACAGAGGCTGATCTTGACACCGCTGGTACCAGTCATCGGCAAGTCCACTCAGCTCCACGTCCTCCTGTACCACATCACTCCATCGCTTCTCTAGCCCGTGCCGCGCCCGTTTAGCTCCCTCGATCCGGCCGAACAAAAGCTGTTTCGGCATGCGGTGGTTCGGTATGCGGGCTACATGACCCAGCCAACACAGCCTTGCCTTCCGGAGGAGCTCACCGATGGGACTTTGCCCAGATCTTTCAAGGATTTGTGAGCTCCTCACACAATCCAGCCTGGTTAAACCCAGGATGGATCGTAGGCAGGCTAGCCTAAATGTTTCTAACCGGCGAAGATGTTTCCATTAGGGGGGTCCAAGTGTCGCAAGCGTAGAGAAGGAGGGAATGACCGTGGCCGAGAAGACCTGAAGCTTAGTGCGGAACGACAGACCAGGTAGCTTCCACACAGGGTTACGCAACAGATGAAAAGATATTGCCGCTCGACTGATTCAGAGTGAGACCTCTGCTGTTAAACTGGAGCCGGTCATAAGCACACTGCCCAGGTATGGGAAACTCTCCACTCTCTCCACACCTGCCCCATCACCGATTGGGAGTTGTGGGGGTGGAGTGTCCGATGGTACAAAATACCCAGGCAGGTGCTTAGTTTTGGTGTGGCTGATGGTAAGGCCCCATCTCTTAGTGGCACGCTCCAGTCTCAGCAGCAGCGTCTCCAACTCCTCCTCTGAGTGAGCTGCAATTACCAGATCATCGGCATACATAACGTAGTTGACCAATTGGGAGCCATCCTTTGACCGCACCCGGGCATCGATCAGCCTCCCATTATATCTTTACCAAATGGAGATTCCCCCGGTACAGCTATTGAAGGCTTCACGAACTACGTGGTCAAAATAGATGTTAAATAATGTGGGAGCCAGAGGATATCCCTGTCGCACTCCAAGGTGTACAGGGAATGGCTCTGACTTCCGGCCACGTAGTTTTACCCAGGCTCGCTCACCATCTCGGAGGTCCTTAATGATCGTGAGCAGAGGGTCAGGGACTCCAAAAGCACGAAAAACAACCCAGAGCCCAGGCCTACTGATGGTATCATAGGCCTTGACCAGGTCAATAAAGCAGAGATGTAGGTCTTGCTGGAATTCCCTACACCTCTGCTGTAGCAGACGGACAGAAAATATGGCATCTGTGCAGGACCGCCCTTTCCTAAAACCGCATTGGGGCTCCGCAAGCCTCTCCTCAGCGTGCCTGGCAAGGCGATGTTGAATAATCCTTGCCAGGACCTTTCCCGGCACATTGAGGAGTGAGATGCCCCTGTAGTTGTTACAGTCTGTGCGGTCGCCCTTCTTTAAGAGGGGGACCACCAGGGCACATACACAACAACCGCCATTCGCCACTAAATGGCAGTAACGTCACCACGACGCTTGTGCCAGGCCATACACACAAACACACGCACACAGACACACAGACACACAGACACAAAGACAAAGACAAAGACACACACAGACACACACAGACACACACACAAACACACACAAACACACAGACACACACAGACACACACAGACACACACGCGCGCACGTAGACACGTGGTCGGAGTGACCTCCTGCTGAAATGACCGTCGAGAACGTCATCCCGCCCGTTTGCGGCTTCGCTCCAGCCATTGCCAGAAATTCCACGTTCACGTGGCGGGGGCACAGGGGCGGGGGGGGGGGGGAGTGCAGTGGGGGGAGGGTGGTGGGGGGGCTCTTCCTAACGCAACCACTTGTTGTTCTTCCCGCACAAAGTGGTACTCGTTTTAGAAGCGCCACAAGGAAGGATGATGGGTTGAGTCAACGACCCAAAGGTCCCGGAGCTGTTCGCTATGCCGCTGAGCCCCTGGGTAGCTGTGAACAACTCTAGGACGTTTGGGTGCTGCTGGTTGCTGGCCGCTTGCTATATCGGGCCTTTGGGCCCTGTGCTCAACAACCGTGATTAGAAAAAAACGAATAATCAGCCACTGCTGGATGAAGGCTTCTCGAGTTATAGCCCATCATCCCACTGGGGTTCATAAAATATGTACCATATTGTGACTGCTCCATCGTTAGACTCGTCCCTAAATTTATTTTTGACAGCGGTTGTTCTACGGACGGACTGGCCCTGCCTTGGGAATGCGGAGTGATGGTAAACTCACGGCCACCATGACGTGGTCAGTCCCCTTGTCGTCCTGTTTGTGGAGGAGCTCGAAGAAGTAGCGTTGTGACGACACCAGCCTGCAACGGGAGTCGAACCCGGACACATGTGCCTCATGAGTTTGCTATCACACAGAGCCCCTCAGAAGCAATCGTGGTGTCGGTGGTGGATGGATGGGGGTGGGGGGGGGTTGAAATATTGTTCTGGACGAACTGATGAGTCCTAATGAGGACGAAATTGGTCTGCAGTTGTCTCTCCGTTTCACCGTTGCCTGACGGGAAAGCCAACGTTTTAATCCCCTTTGAGTTGGCGGCCTAAGGGCCCGTAACCTCGCCCAAGTCAAGTTCCGTGTTCCCTCTCGCCTACTCTTGCAGTTCTGATTCTTGGGAGTGCCGTTTGTTGCAGGCCGTTTGACGTGAGTGTCGGCGTTATAAACCCGGACAATGCGGCAAATGAGAAGTGGCCAAGCATCCCAGTGTAGCGGGACCCTTCTCAGGAAAACGACTTCCGAGACGAACAACAAATCACTTTTTTTCCCATTCACATTAAACTTGACAAGATTGGAAAAGCGCGTGATGATTTTTTACTTTCAAAAAATATATATAATCTGTCACAACGATCCGCAAAAAGTTCCACGCTCGAATTCGAGGCTGTCTCGCTCGCTCGCCTTGCAAAGGTGCGAATCGGAGTAGGATCGAGCGGCACTGACGAAATAACACGGAATGAAAGTGCGACAATTCCCGCGACTTGGCTGTAATCCGGCGCCACCGACAATTGCCCAGGCGCCGATGTCCTCTCTATACTAAGACGTCTCTCAGCCAATACATGAGTGTGTGTACATGTGGGAGGACACCGGAGCACCGGGAGAAAACCCACGCGTAATGCGAGGGGGAAACACTCGATCCCCGTGTAGACGGAACCGGTGGAGGCCGCATTTTTGTGCCGGGGGAGTACGCGGCTCTTCCTCGACGCCCACCCACGGGAAGGGAGTTTGATAAGAACATTAATACGTGGTCATCCACCAACCCTCGCTGCTGGGTTTACAGGCAGCCACGAGCAGCGGCGTGGCCACCACCGCCACCACCGTCACCACTGCCAACACGATGACCACCACTTTGACGACCACCAGCACCACCACCACTACTACCACCGCCACGCGACCCAGCACGCGAATGTTGAAAGCGCGTCTCCTCTCGAGTGGAGATGAGGGTCGCGGCTTAACGAGCCCGCCGACACGACGTCTCCTCCCCAAGCGTGTGTTGGGTGTTGTCGCTTACCGCGTGTAAATCTAATCCCGATTCTGTCTCTTTTTTTCTCTCTCTCTCTCTCTCTAACTCTCTCTCTCTCTCTCTTCAAACTTATGCAAGATTGGTTTTCATTTCACATTCGGCACTTTGAGGCGGCTCTCGCGAAATGTGCTTCATGCATTCAAATTGTTCGACAAACTCATCAGCATTTTAATACGGGTGCGTGGGTGCGTGCGATCGGGTTGAGCGTGCGTGTGTGGGGAATTCGATTCCCGCTCACGGCACAACACCAGTGACGATTGTTTGAACCGGTCCTGGGCCTCCCCTAGGTCGACTACGCCTAAAATGAGTACCTGGTGCAGTGTGTAAACATCGCTATTGTAGAGACAAAGGCGGTCGGGCGTGGTGCTGGCCACCCACCCCCTCGTGTAGCATTCCGGCCTTCGTAGGTGCTCGCTAACAGCACTTGCCCCAACAGTCTGTTAAGGCTATACAGGGGATTTTTGTTTTTGTTGTGTGCGTGCCGCATTACAAACCCAGCGACCAAAGTTCGATTCCTGCTCACGGCTACCATCAGTGGCGAAATTGTAAAACCAGCCATGGGGCTCATTTCGGTCAACTCAGCCTTAAATGGGTACCTGATGCGGTGTGTATGAAACTTCACCACTGGGGAGACAGCAGAGTTGGCCGAGTGTGATGCTTGGCACCCACCCCTCGTGTGCCACTCTGCCGGCACCTTGGTAGGTGCTCGCCGACAGCACTTTGTCGCTCCATTCTGTCGAAGGCGGCTACGTGGGACGGCCTTTGCCTTTGTCTCACTCACCGGGTTGGTCTGGAGATCTGCGAGCTAAATTTTCGGAATTCTCCCGGCGCTGTCCACTCGCGGCCGGTCTGCGGACACGTGCAACGGTACCGACCGTCAAATTTCGTCAGGCGTGACAAACAGATCAAGCAATGAAACGTCCGTGCGCGCGATTAAATACACCATCTGTTGGTGGCTTATCGAGGAGGGGAGGTCTCGCTGAGTCGGAAGATGTTTTTGTTTGTTTGGGAGACGTCCTGATTTCCGATCTTCGACTCAATTTCCGAATGCAGATGGCAAGAATCCAGTGAAGGCCACAACGCGTGCAAAGGGGGGTAGGGGGGGCAGACACTGTACATTCCCGTTCTTATACGTGGAGCAGCGCAATGCCTTTGCGCTTGAGATCCGCAACTCCTGCTGTTAACAACCTGACGATGTCGGATGTTATCCTCCAGCGAAACGGCTGCACCCTTGTAAATATTGCCAAGTTACTCTCGAACAACAACAACAATAGCAACAAACACCAACGATGCTGCTGAAGCAATAATACAACACGGCACCCCATTAGCACCCCCCCCCCCCCCCCCTACCCCGTGTTACTCACACAGTATACCAAAGTTAGCCCACTGGGCTTTATTAACTTTTTAATTTACCGGGTAAGGCCCTCTGAGCTATACAGCTCTTATTCAGAAGCGAGCTGGCTATCACAAATGATAGATCAACGACGTGGGCTGATCGTCACCGCGTGGAAATGTGTTGCAGCCGAATACTCTGTACGCAACTTTGATTCTAAATGTGGAGGAGGAAAACCGGCAGCGGTGGTATGAGCGCGCAATTGCCGGGCTGCGCCTCTGCCCTCATCCAGGTCTGCAGAGACGTATGCAAATTAGCAATTGGCAAGCTCAGGTGGTGATGGTGGTGGTGGTGGTCGGAGAGACTGACGCGGGGTTTGTGGATTAAGTGTCACCGTTATTGCATCTGAGAGCGTGTGCCGTGTGCATCTGCAAGTGTCTACATATGCGTGTGTGCAGGAGCGTCTGTCTGTGTTATTATGGCGAGCAGTGGCGCAGTGGTTAGCACGCTGCTGTACGCACCCGCAAAACCTGGAGTTCATTTCCCAGCCACCGACCAAAAAATTGCCACAACCAATAACGGCAACGTGGTCCTGGCCCTCCCCTAGGTCGAATTAACTTTAAATGAGTGCAGCATTCAAAGGTGTATCTATGAACGTTGCACTTCTTTGACACTGTCCGTAGCCAATTGTGTTAATCGGAGGTGCGGGGGAAGGACAACAAACTAAACACAAAAAGCAATTATAAAAAATCAGTTCTCCATGTAGATGATACCTCCAGTGGCGTCCTAATATCGGAAGGAAGAGCGTTCCAGACGGCCGCAGAAGCGGCACTCGCGTGAATGGGAAAGCACGCCCGACAGGATGGACGCCCAGCGCGCATACGGAGCAAAATTAAACCATCTCGCGTGCACTGCTGCCGTCTGGAAGAGCGTTCCAGACGGCCACGGAAGCGCATCTGAAAGCGCCCCGCGATGCGTGTGCTCGCCCCTCCCCCCCACTCCATCCCCCCCCACCACCACCAACATTAACAGTCCAGGGGACGGCCACACGGAGGGAGAGGCCCGCACGTGGCGCCCTGCCCCGAGGCGCGGCCCCACAGAGGCGACGTCCCGCCTGCAAAGGGGACGCGACATTCGCTACTTTTCCTCCACCCTCCCCCCACAAGTCTTCAAACCGCCACCACCGCCACCACAATGCCCATAAATCTCGCGAAGGAACCAATCTTATCAGCCACCCCGAACGTGGCAGCATCCTAATCAGATTAAAACTCCGCTCCGCGTGTTACATTCAACGTCCCCCTCCCGCTTCCATCCGTCCACCCCGAACGAAAACTTTTGATTTATAATTCTTTTTGGTTTCCTCGACGCCGTTATTGGACGCTTGTTTTGTTCGGAGCCACGGGCGCGAAGTTTTTCCCGGTTTATGCCGCGGGAAGCTCACGGAGGGAATGTGGTAGAAAAATAATGGCGATATCATAAAAACATTACGGTGTGCATACATATATATTATATATATGATGGACGAGGCGTCATTTCTAAGGCTCGCTCAACATCAATTACTCTCAGTGGAAAATCTATCACGTCGTGGTGCATTGTGGGCGATGAAATAAAAAATGACCACGCGGTGGGGGCTTCTGTTTTAACATCTCGCCACCGTGGCACCCCGCGGTGCCTCGATGATGCTTTCAGCCAATTCATGATGAGCGTTTATATACCTGTGGGAGGAAACCGACAGCATCCGGAGAAAACCTCGCACGTGTGAGAGGGGGCAACGCTCTATCCCATGCCAACGGAACAGATGGGAGTCCACACTTTTTGCTGTGCCGCCTTCTCCTGGCGAGCCAGGGGGTTACGGCTCCTCCTCGACGCCCACGGGAAGGAAGGTTCACAACAGCACTTGCGTGCGGTGATCCACCAACCCCTCGCTGCTGCTACCTCCACAGCGCTGGGTTACAGGCAGCAGCAGCAGCAGCGAACCCACCAGGACCGCCCGCCTAATTGCCGCAGTTATTCCGAGCGAGGCAATCGTCCTAACTGATGCCAACATGAATATGGCACCGTGAAGGGGCCGCGGCAAGGCGATGAAAGTAACGATGGCGGCTTAATGACGAGAACTGACGACGACGGACCGATGACCGAGGACAGCGCGTCGCCGTACCGGACCCACGGAGGCGACGAGTGTGGCGTTGGCCGGCGCCGCGTCCCGGCTGAGCCAGAGCTCGCTGTTGTCGTCCGACGTGACGGCGAACTGGTAGAGGCCTTCACAGAGCGACGCGCGCACAGTTAACTCGCACGTGTGGGTAGGTGGGTCCACACAACGGTGAGCGCGGCATCACCAACGCGACGCAACGAAGCGCCGCGGTGCACGGGATCTGAGCGGATGCGCCCGGATCGTAGACGTTGCATTAATGAACCGCATGTCCCGATTGAATGAGACGCGTGTCCCGATGAATGAAACAAGTGTTCCGATGAATTAATTAAGCACGTACCCTGATGAATGCATGAGACGCGTGCCCAGATTAATTAAACCCGTGCATTAAACCCGTGCACCGAGGAATGAAACACGTGCCCCGATGCATGGATGAAGGAAACACGTGCCCCGATGAAGGGATGAATGAAACACGTGCCCCGAGGAATGAAACACGTGCCCCGATGCATGGATGAAGGAAACACGTGCCCCGATGAAGGGATGAATGAAACACGTGCCCCGAGGAATGAACGAATTTAACGCGTGCCCCGAAGAATGAAACACGTGCCCCGATGTAGGTCACAACCTGTGGCAGTAGGGACGACGTAGCCGAAGATTCTGAGACCGTAGTTGACCCAGCGGGGAGACACGGCCAGCTTGCTGATCACGCTGCGAGACTATCGCATACACACAGACAAAGGTCCCCCGTGTAGCCTTTCACACACCGTTGGGGCAAAGTGCTGTTAGCGACCACCTATGAAGACCGGAGCGGTACACACACAACACGTGGTGCTGGATGGCTAAACCACTCCCGACCGCCTTTGTCTCCCTCGTGGCGATGTTTACGCATCGCACCAGGTACTCATTTTAAGGCTGAGTTGACCTACGGATAGGTCGAGGATCGGCTCGGGTAATCGTCACTGGTGTAGCGCAGTGCGGTAACCACTGCGCCACCGCTCCCCATGCACAGACTGCCGCACACAAACACGCACGTGTATATACGTGCACGCACACAGACAAAGGTCCCCGGTAAAGCCTGAGCATACTGTTGGGGCAAGTGCTGTTAGCGAGAACACACGCACACACACGCATGTACATATGACCCCTTGAGGCTGACGGAGGACAGCCAAGTGAACTGGAGATTGGTGTAGACACAGAGAGAGAGAGAAGATGTTAAGGCTGAACACATGGAATGGTGATGTTTACGATGATTACACTGAAGATGATGACTATGCTGCTGATGATTATGACGCTGATGGTGACATTGCTGCTGATGATTATGGCGCTGAAGATGATGACGATGCTGCTGATGCTGCTGATGATGATGGCGCTGAAGATGATGACGCTGAAGATGATGACGATGCAGCTGCTGATGATGTGTTATTGCAGAGGCCTCGAGGTGTGTGTGGGTGAGAGCTCACGTGCGGGTAGAGAGGGAAGTGTACATTCTTTCGCAGTTGAGCCACAGATGCGCCGCACCAATCCTCGTACACGTGCATGTTGGCACGACCCAACAACTGCCAACAACAGCGGATCATCATCAGCACCAGTATCATCATCAGCATCATCTTTGTCAGTAGACACCCTCAGTGCCCTGAGAGTGTCTACAAGGCGTCTTGTTCATATCCAGAGATTCTGAGCGCCCCCTGCTCGTTCACCTATCCAGACAACGGCAGATATAGACTCATAGACACGCATAGAGACCCGTAGACTCACAGAGACCCATAGACGCACATAGACCCATGGATTCGCACAGATTATCATAGATTCACAGAGAGGCCCAGACTCACAGAGACCCACAGACTCACAGAGACCCACACACAAAGACCCACAGACTCACACCGAGACCCACACACAAAGACCCACAGACTCACACAAAGACCCACAGACTCACACACAGACCAACAGACTCACACAGAGATGTCGTGGCTGGTAGATTCAGAGCCGTTCGTGGCCCTGGTTTATTTTTGTCGGTCAATGGAGGAGGGGGGCAGTGTATAACCATACTTCACCACTCATACTGTTAATACAAGTGACTGGGGCTTGGGCAGGACAGGTCGCGGCCAGGAGCGATGATGGCCAAGCATAATAACGGAGTGGGAGCCCAGGAATGGAGCGCGTACGAGAGCACGACCACCGTGGAAGAAATGGAGCAATGAAACCAGCCCGTGTGTGCAGGAGGAGTTGCCGGCGGCATGGCTGGAGGCCTTCGTCTAGCAGTGGACGGACCATGGCTGATGATGATGGGTCTGACGGGCGTGCGTGTGTGAGGAGCGGTAGTGCAGCGGTGAGCGCACCGCGTAACGAACCCGACCACCCAAATTCGATTCCCGCTCATGCCCGAAACCAGTGACGATTATCCGAACCAGTCCTGGGCCTTCCCTATGTCGACTCAGCCTCAGGAAGAGTACCTGGTGCGATGTGCGAACATCGCCACTCGACTGACAAAGGCGGCCGTGCGTGGAACTGGCCACTCACCACCCCGTGTGCTGTCCTTCATTGGTGCTACTCGCTCACAGCACTTGCCCCAAGCGCATGTTAAAGGCTATACTGGTGGTGGTGGTGGGGAGGGGTGGAGATCTTTGTCTTTGTGAGAAACCGAATCGCGAGTACGTGAGGAGCCTCCTCACGTGCGCTCTCGCACAGCGCCGTGAGCCGGCCCCGTCGTAAATGAGTCGCGTGCGCATCGAGGGGCCACTGATACCCCTCATCACGAGCATGTCGGAGTCGCCAATTAGTTGGGGATCGTGTGGGATGGGGTGGGGATTTGAGATGAGGTTTGTTGATGGGTAGTTGGAGAGGGGGGAGGGGAAAATGTAAAATTAATTACGGCGCTTTTGATTCGAATGTGGAGCGATTCGAAATGATTGCAGATGCCGCGCGCGTACGTGCGCGCGTGTGTGTGTGTGCGTGTGCGCGTGTCTGTCCTGGGTTTTTAATTAGCAGCATTGCGCCTCGTTCGGACTGCAAACTGGCTGGGTCCACTAAGGGAGCCTTCGCTCCCCTCCGTTGGAGGGGGCGGAGGAGGCGCGCGGGGTGTAACGCTGCAGCAGCAAAAGCAACAACATCAGCAGCAGCAGTGATGGCAACGATGTCGACGGAGCCTTACGGGGCGTCTCGCATCCTCAAGGTGCGCTTCGCTGGAAGTAAATCGACGACTTAAGTTGCCATTTGAAAATGCTGCAGGCGCGTTGGGTAAAGTGCGGCACTGCCTTGCACCTGCCCCTGATAGCCACGTGGTGAGCTGCGTGGTGAGTTTAGCAGTGGTCCTGGTGAGCTGCGTGGTGAGTTTAGCGGTGGTCCTGGTGAGCTGCGTGGTGAGCTTAGCGGTGGTCCTGGTGAGCTGCGTGGTGAGTTTAGCGGTGGTCCTGGTGAGCTGCGTGGTGAGTTTAGCAGTGGTCCTGGTGAGCTGCGTGGTGAGTTTAGCGGTGGTCCTGGTGAGCTGCGTGGTGAGTTTAGCAGTGGTCCTGGTGAGCTGTGTGGTGAGCTTAGCGGTGGTCCTGGTGAGCTGCGTGGTGAGTTTAGCATTGGTGCTGGTGAGCTGCGTGGTGAGTTTAGCAGTGGTCCGGGTGGCGATCATCGATACGGCAGAGAGTGGAGTCTCGCGTTACTCAGGCTGTCCCAAGCCCCTGGTGGCACACCGCTCGTGTTGAATATCGCACCCGTTTGTTCTGACTCGGCGATTAGAATGTAAGACGGTGGGTTTGGGGTAGGGTGGGGGAGTGAATCTTCTTCTCCAGCCCCCCCCCCGTCCCCCCTTCCGCTAGAGCGAGAGGCTTACGATCTTAATGTTTTGCGAATCCCACTGGATATCTGTGAAAAAGAGCTTCATAGCTCATCGGATTTCCTCCCAGGTCTATCTAAAGAATCTGAATCGGAGGTCACATTCTGGTTAGCGCTTCGTTGGGGATGGGGAATGCCTCGGCACAATCATCCCCTTCTCCGGGGTCGATAAAATTCATACCGATTCGTGGGGAAGCCAACATCGCCTCCGCCATGGGAATGTGGAATTTACCCTTCACAGGCTCGGGCCTGTGAAGGGGAAACGCGAGGCATCGCCTGCGAACGCTCATGTGGGAAGGAAGTCGCCGTGACCTTGTCGCGAGAGTCTTGGAGCGACTGCGGAGGAGACCCAGGGTTCGTGTGTTTTGTGTGTGCGAGGTTATGACACTTGCTCGGCTATTTTTGTAATTTTTGGTAATTCCTATAATTCCTCCCTCCCCCCCACACACAATACGGCAGTGAGTGGTGGGGGGAGGCTTTCAATTACGGCACAATCCAGACGCGCGCTGCACCCCCGCACGCCAATACACCTGCGGATTTAATTCGAGCAAAAACCGAATTACAGTCACATTTCCTATTAACCTCGCCGGCTCTCTGATTTCAAGGGCTGATTTAATTTGCTCGCCTAAGAACGCCACTCACCAGCGAAGAGGCTTTAGTAAGCAGGGGGGGAGGCGGGGAGTGGATACAATAAAAATAATGACGTTTTTTTGCCAGTATGAAAAATAATAATCGGTTTTACCCTTTCTGGCAATCAAACAGAAGGTGTTAAGGTGTCCAAACACCAAATAAAAATATGTTGCAAGGAATAAAGTTTACTGCATTAACCACACACCAATATTTGTGGTGAACATGCAAATACAAACATGCTCCGATAATGATTAATCTACGCATTTGAAACTGATTGGCCTACATCAGAGACGGCCTTCTCTATGGCCTGGCCTATCAGAGCATGTTTGTTTGCATGTTCACCACACCTACGTATGGTTAATGCAGTAAACTTTACTCCTTGCAAAATGTTTCCATTTGGTGTTTGAACATCTTAACACACCTCCTGTTTTCTTGCCCCCAGTCTTGTTTTTTCATACTAAGATGACGCGTTGTTCGTGTTGGGTTTGCATCGGGCGGCGGCGATTAGATGGCATCTCCCTCGCCTGGTACGCAGGAAGTCGTTGGTTCGATCCCGGACCCTGACGATGCCCGTATACTCGAAGTCCGCGTGTCCTCTCTCTCCCCGTGGAGATCACGTGGAGTGTTCTCAGGTCTTGCCCCCCCCCCAGGTCCTCCACATCGAGAAACAACAACGCCTTGAGATTATTTGGCTGCTGCTCTAAATTGGTGATATAAAAGCCACTCGATGATCGATCACGTGTGGTCAGGTTGTCTCTGGACATGAAAGAATATCCAAAGTTAAATTTTCATTTAAAGCTTTCGTGACTGCAGGGATTCATATTCTTGGTTCTTTCGGTAAAGTCACGTAGAAGGGAAACAAAAAAATAATAAAAATATAAAACAATAAAATTATCACGGCGTTTCGACTGCAACACAAGCAATCATCATCAGGTGTGAAAACCACAACAAGAAAATTTGAAAAAAGTGGCAGTTTTTTAACGTTAGCACCACGGAGAGCGATTTGACAGTTTGTTCAGATGGACGAATCCATCTATGTTCGGAAAAGAGGAGGGGGGAGACGAAAAATAATGGATGCGGTCTGAAAGCCACCTGAAGCGTGATCAATCAATTAAAACCCGAAATGGTTTATCAAATCCTTCCAATGATTGCTAAGCCAGAATCCATCTTCTCGGTTGAAATTGTCTCTGTGTTTGTATACGTGGATAGCCTCATGAACGAATCTCTCATGGTAGCCAGATGGCTTGCAAAGAACCTCTGTATTGGAGAAGTCAATGTCATGTGAACCTACTGAATTATAACAGTGATCTGCCACGGCCGAGGTGTTGGTCCTACCGTGTTTCAGGTCTGCTTTGTGTTCACAAATGCGGTCCGAGACATGTCGTTTGGTTTCTCCAATGTAACTACTACCACAGAGGCAACTTAGTATGTAGACGCCAGGGTACTGTATGTCCGGAACCACATGTTTTACAGACGGAACCAGATCACGGATTTTATGTAATGTGTTGAATCGGACCTGGATCTTGTGTTTATTCAAGATTTTGGAGATATTTTTTGTGATCCCCACAATGTAGGGTAAAGCGATGGTTTTGAAAGGCTCCTCAAGAGGGTCCTTCTTCATGGTTGGAGTGATAGCTTTGCGGATTTGTAGTCGGAATAACCATTAGCCTTAAGAGCTTGGTGTACGTGATTGAGTTCACTGGCTATGTGTTCTTGGTCGGATATGCATTTGGCTCTATGGTGGCAAGCTACCTTTTTTGGATGTCCCAATAAAAAAGAGGCCTGATGGTTCAATGAGCCATTCTATCTACAAGAAAGCTACCCATACGGATGCTTACCTGAAACCGGATTCCCACCACCATCCATCCCAGAAGAATTCCCTCATTCAGACTCTGCACCATAGAGCCCAATGCATATCCGACCAGGAACACATAGCCAGTGAACTCAAGCATGTACACCAAGCTCTTAAGGCTAATGGTTATTCCGACTACACAATCTGCAAAGCTATCACTCCAACCATGAAGAAGGACCCTCTTGAGGAGCCTTTCAAAACCATCACTTTACCCTACATTGCGGGGATCACAAAAAAGATCTACAAAATTTT